CTTATCAGATTATGCAAAAATTAACAAAAAATCCCCCAACCAAAAATGGCAAATTAGCCTAAAGTGAAAAATACCCATGTTCATTTGGCCTAAGGTACAAATATTTCAAAGATACCCCCACTTACCCAACAAATAAAAACAAAACTATGAAGACCTCCCAAATACCATAAAAATACATCCTCAACAATTTTTGACTAAACCCAACCCACTTGTCAAAAAATCAATAAATAATCAAACCACACTTGAATTTCGCCTCAAAACTTTAAAAAATATTCGACGAAACAAATTATTTCTTAAATGCTTTTTTCCATAACAGTTGATCACATAAAACAAAAACTTCAAAACCTCTCCACAAAACTTTTCACTCTATTTAAATTTTTGCTATTCTTTTTCATTGAAACTTTTGAATCTCTAATAATCCTTTCTATAATTTTTTGCAATCTTTTTTTAAATTTTCTACTTCCGATTTGAAATATATCTCCAAATTTTCCAAATCCTTGACCACATCTACAGGTACGAACACATAAAATCTATTTAAATGATACGAACCATTTTTAGTCGAAAAGATATTTTTCTTTATTCATAGTTTTTCTTACATTTTTAATACCCCTAATCATGACAATGTGCAAAAGTATAAAAAAGGCAATAGTCACATTCGTCTTAGCAACTATTCTTTTGATACTTTTTATTGAAGAATTTTACAATAAACATAAATTTTCCCAATAAGAATTAAACACTCAAATAACTTTTCAAAATTGCTAATCAACCACCACCAAACCAGCCCCCACCAACAACATCCCAAGAAAGTCCAATAACACCTACAACTACCAATAATCCCCCACCATCAACTCGAATTTCTTTTCAAGACAACCCATACACTTTTGAAGAACGACACGCACGATTATCTGAACCCTTAGATCCAGTTCATCGCCAAGCACCTTTAAGTGAACCAATATATAATTTATACCCCGCCTTGCAGCAAGATCTTAATCGAGTAAGACATATAAGCCAAAATCAAAACACACTTGAAATAAATAGACAAATCATACACCCAAGAAGAAATAGAAAAATTCAAACCCCCAGAGTTCATTTTAACATACCCCAATCACAGACACCAACTACCTCAGAACTTTCAAGTAGTACACTAACAGAAACTCCCACATTTTCCTCACAACAAAGCATCTCAAATATCCCATCAGATTATTTAGATTCAACTCCAACATCAGAACAAATTCGAGAAAATCCTTTTAACCCTCCAGATACCACCGAACGACCACCATATTGGTCAACACACTCATATACTCAAGGTGAACCAAATTTAGTGAATAAACCAATAGATATTTCTTCTGATACAACATTATCATCTCTACCAGAAACACTTTCACTTCCATCAACACCATCTTTAAGTCAAATTTCATCAAAACTTTTCCCCCTAAATTTAACCACCAATCTCGACACCAGATACCAAGAACAATCATCGACAAATACCCCTCTACGATTAGATTGGAATAATTTCGTAGCACCTCCCCCACTATTTGGACAACCTCAAGAAAGTAGCCGACTCCACAGTTGGGCACTAAATAGATTACAGTACAGACAAGAAATTCACAAAGATAATCAAGAACACAACATTCAAATACTCCAACAAAATAGTTTCCAATTAAAATTTGAAATCACAGTCAGACTTAATAATATTGTTCAACACCGTTTTCCTCTAAGCCCACCAAACATAACAGCTCAATCTTTACATCCCCCATTTATAACGACTGAAGTCATATATAAATACGACAGATATATCAAAAACAAAATTGGATATATCACTTGTTATAACCCATATTCAGGATTATCATACACATGTATATTCTAAAAATATTAACATTTCAACACATCCTTTTTCTAATTTTTTTCCAAACAAAACACAAATCCAACTCCCCGCACAGGACCTCAGGATTTGTTAGTAACACACTACGATTGTGAGGAAAATGAACAAAAACGCTACACAAATATGCAATAAACCAAGTAACACAATGCGAATCAGAACCACAAGCTATAGAAACAACAAACATAGTAGCAACATTATACTTAAAAGCCCGAGTAACAACACTTACAGGCTATAAGTTTACAGCAACATTTTCTGAAAAGAAAGTACATTGTTCACAAGTTTCAAATGGAAATAAAAACCGACTTGATCACGAATCAATCTATCAAAGTAATATAGAAAGACTTTTACATCTAAGCCCCGAAGACTGTAAACACTAACTACATCAGACGCTATTCACGATGTTTTCCCTCACGGCTTTTTCCCCGACGACAAAGGTAAGTATGAATTTAATATTTTAAAACTAACTAATTTAAAATAAAAACTAACCCTTCTTCATATTTAATTTACATTTTCTTTAGTCTTCACCCATGATCAGCTACAACAAGAAGAAAAAAAAATAAAAATGCAGACTCTTTTTTCAGAATAAACTCTATTAAACCTATAGCACTAAATGATGCAGTAAAATTCGATTCGAAAGCAATAAATTCATCTATGAATTATTTCCCTGAATGTAGTAAAAATCATTACGATGATAATCAATTCATAATTTTCAATCCCCACAAAGCAGTAAAATTTAAACTTAAAGTAGTAAATTTATACAAAAAATGCAGTACTAACCTTTTATATATCTTCTGTTTACCCGCACAAGAGTTCTATCGACAATCGCACAACTCGCCTACGAAGAATTGTTTAAAATAATGAATTTTAAGTTTTAATTTTGCACTAACAACAACTCAAACAAGCAATAGCAAGTTTCCAACTTTCCTTTAACCCGGTTGGAATGGAATTATATAATAACCAAACTAACCAATGCAGCTAACTAAACACCATAAACCACAAACTAACAGCATGACTAAGAAAAGAACACCGACGGTACCCAAACCGGATTAAACCAGCTTAAAACTGGATAATTTATTTTTTGAAGACTATTACCAAGTCTAAAAAAGAAATAATAAAAAAAAAAGTCGCAAGACAAACCCAAACAAAAAACAATTTGATTTTTGAGAAAAGGACACAACCAAAGTAACAAAAGGAAAACTAGAAATAATATAACAAAAACGTTAGCACAAAACAGGACCCCTTAAAAAACCAGCATGAAATCATGCTCCCACTCCTGGCCTAACCCACCAGAGAGGACGTCCTGAGCATGCTCTATAGCCGGCCTAACCCACCGTGCTACATCCACGCTTTGTGACCACATCAAATTTTTGACAAGAGGTACTCAAGGGTGAAAAACTCTTAAAAATAACTGAACTAAAACTAAAACGCTTTTGCGAAAACAATTAACCAAAATCATAACTAAAAAATTAAATTAACAAAATTTTAAAAAATGTAAATTATTATATGCAGAACATAGATCGCGAACAACCGCAAAGACGAGCATCCAAAGACTAGGCGACCACATCACACTCAACCTACAGAATGGCTAAACACAACCGACATGCCGCTCACAATCACGACTCAAAAAAGGATTTAGAGTACGACTTGACTTCGCAGAAAAGGACTTCATTGAGTCAGACCAATGACCACCTCGATGTTCAAGTATACGTACAGATCCGAGTTACAAGGCATTTCCTCCAAACACGATCTTCACGCCTTTCCCAGACAAGAGTGATACTCGATCAGTTCTCCACCCAAGCAGAACAAACAATCATAGCCAACCAATTTGAAATCAGATCGATTTCACCGGCGGTCGCAGCCATCGTCGAACAAACAAACTAACAACTTCCTATCGACGACTCCAGCTTCCTGGAGCTTTCTTCTCCAAGAAAAAAACAAGAAATGATGCTCGCCAAATACCAACGACCATCATCCATCCTTCATTACAGATAGAAGATAAAAGATTCAAAACTCTGTAAACCCCGGATGGGTGGAGCCAGATCTAAACTACATTTTATTATTGGTTATAAATTGGATATTTCATCACTATAAAATATTTAAAATTAACAAATCATGATCCATCTAACTAACAACCCACTTATTTGTAAGTGCTGAAATTACTTGTAATTTCAGCACCGGAGTGATTTGAATTTAACTTAGAAATTAGTTACCTCTCCAAGAGACCTTCTAGCAATCGCAATAAACCAGTATACTCTAGATCTATTGAGCCTAGCAGAGACTAGTTAAACACCCTGAGACTAGTAGATATAAGAGTTAGATTAGGATCGGTATTAGACTAAGAAGTTTATCCGGCCGGAAATAAGATAGCGTGACGAGCAGACGGTGTACCCTATCCGAAATTACTCTATGAGTTAAACCTCGGTCATAACTCAAAAGCAATGGTCCCAAAATTGACCTCTGCGCAATTCCTCAGGTGACAGTTTTTATAGAACATACACGCTTATCTGATATTACAAGAAACGTCCGATCTTCTGAATAGGATTTAAGAAATTTCAAAAATTACAACGGAAACAATAGTATTCTAGTTTTGTCAATAAAATTTTATGATCAAGAAGGTCGAAAATCAAAAAAGGGCTAAGCCGAATGTTATTTTTTTCAATGAACCAAATTATCCCTTTAAATTTGATTTTTTTCCAAACTTTGCTGAATACAGGAGAGAGACTGATCGGTTTATAGTTGTTTGGATCAGATTTATATACTGATTTCCACAAGCGAACTACATTAGCAATTTTTAATGTAATTTTTGCTCTTTAAATTATCTATTGAACTATCATATTCCTATTTGTCAATTGGTGCAAAAACAAAAGACTTTTCAAGGCAAAAAAAAGTTTGATGGCAGCAGAACGTTCTTGAATTGAGGAAATCAATGTCTTACTAATACTAGCAAAGAAGTTTCCAAATTTTTTCACTTTTAGTTCCATGTTACTTCTTAAAATATCTCGAGATGTCTTTACTTTCAAACTGAAAAGTTGTAAGCTCATTGAAGAAAAATTAAAAAGTGATTGAAGAAAAAGGTTACGCTAACCTTCGAAACTCATGTTTTATATAATCCCTCAAACAATTTGAACATTCAATAAATAAATTCAACAAAATGAAAACAAGTTATCGACTATCAGTTTGATTTTACATCCGGTTTGTAGTGAAATAGAGTAGATAAAATAATATTCCATGCGAAAGTTACGAAGTTTACATAAGTTACTCTAAATGCTGGCTTGACAAAATAAAAGTTGGCGAATTGAGCAGCCGGCCAAATGCACAAATCGAGGGCGTAAATTGGGATGAATTTCTGTTTGCACTCTTTCACTGATTGTGACCAATTGTTTCCTTCTACATATGCCAGACATGTGATGAATGTCAGGTAAAGAGGGACTGCGTTCAACTGGTCGAAAAAGATCTTTGCGCCGATTGTTTTGAAGGCTAAACCTAAAAGCAGCAATCAAATATAAAAATGATAGATAAGACCAAGTTAACACGACCAACCCCCCCCCCCCCCCCCCCCCGCAGCAGTTTTGGGGGATGATAACTTTACTCTAAGTGGGAATTTTCAGCCAATCAAAATCGAGCATTTTACATGCAGCGATTAGCTAGCTAATCTAATGTTAATTGAAGGATGTTAACTGATTCCATAGATGAAATACTTTGTTCCATTACTATATAAAGCCGTATAGGCTGTATCACAGAAAAGATCAAATATTCGACCCCCTCAGGGATTCGAACCCCTAACCGCCCAAACGCTCCCCCATTTGGTAAAAGTTCGAATGCAATTTTTTGGTCAACTAACGCCTTTGGCACCAATGCACCTAGTTTACCCAAAGGCAACTGCTAACAAGCACACCAAGCTCAAGACTCCCAAAAAAACTACTTCAAAGCGACTGTTCAGCCCAGAGAAACTTTTGTTCTCTTGCATCTGAAAATTTTATTCTATTACTTGAAAAGAACTTAGTTTTTTCTACGCCATCTGGCGTTAGATAGTCGACGATTTTTCAAATCAGAAAGCAACTTTTGCGGAAACTTGGTTAAATATAGAATTTTAGTTATATTTAGGTGCTTTATTTATTTAAGAGAGCTTGGAAATTCAGCATTCATTTTGGTCGACCTAAACGTTTATAAAACATAAATTCGCAGAGAAAATTTGCCTCTTTCCTCAAGATCTGAAGCGTGGCGGGATAAAAAAAAAACGAAAAGAAAACTTTAAATTGTCCTTTTAAAGTGTTGTCGCAACATTCAGGGCTTTCGTAACTTTGATATACTAGGAGTCAGGGGCGGATCTAGGATTTTTTCGAGGGGGGGGGGGCGGATTTTCACGACCTTTTTTGACGACCTTTTTTTTTTTTAGGTCGACCAAATTGATTTTTCGAGCTCTCCCAAAGCACTGTTTTGCCCCTATTTTTGGTAAATTTTCTGCGCCGCAGGCAAATTTTTGAAAAAACAGTCAAAAAAGCCGTTTTTGGGCACTTTTTGAAAAATTTTGACAAAAAAATCGCGTTTTTTTTGGCGCGCGCTCCCCCTCAAAGTTAGTATATATTGGCGCGGAAGGCGTTTTTAGAAAAATTTTAGGGTCGGTCGGCAAAAAATGGATTTCTTAAAAAGTACCAAAGGGGGGACCCTTTGGGTCGGCAGGGGGTCGAATCCCTGAGGGAGGGCGTAGCCCCCCCCCCCCCCCACTAAATCCGCCCCTGCTAGGAGTCTCGCTTAGATGAGGCTAATTTGGCCATTTTTACTTTGCCGACATCCTATACTCTATATCATCAATTGAGCCTGGCAACCTTTGATGCGGAGTGCCAAAGCTGCGTAGGAAATCTTTAAGCTTGGCTCTCAAAAATTATTATAGTAAAAATAGTTGAACAGCGCAGGATGTTCCTGCCTTTGTTTTGTTTCAACCCGAATTGAAATATTACCAGAAATTTATTTTAGACAAGCAAACTTAATAAAAAGTTTAATATTCGATATTTTACCATCATGACTTAACCGCTGGATTTTTTTACCATCATGACTGGGTTAGTGTAAACTAAGTAAATTATACAGAGGGCGGGGGACTTTTGACTTTAAATGCTTCTGACCTGGCAGTCTTCTGTCCAGAACGAGGTAGAACCCAGTCTGCCAGGGACTGATGATGAAACTCATACTCGCCATCCGCACAGCCCTCTGCAAATCAATCTGACCTTTGACCCCTTCTTTATGACCTTCAACTGAACTGATCGTCTGCTGTGACAGTTCAATCTTCTGGGCGGCTATGTCTCCCATGAAGTAGAGTGCGAAAGAAGAGGCAGTGTTTGTGACCCACAGCAAGCGACCTGAGAATGCCTTTCTCCATGCCATTAATAACCAGAGGTTTATAACTAATAACTTGATTATCACAATAACGCTATACAAAACGATTTCTGTACACCGAAACCTCCAATGAGCTCCAATTAACAATTATTTTCAATTAACAAATAGAAGTCAAAAACAAGTAAGGAGTAAAATTAAAGTGGCTAAGAGCTTCAATAACGAATATGCTATATTTCATACCTGGATCCAAAATTAAATCTTACACTTCTTACAAGCCTCAAATTACAATTTTCTACAATTTGTGGAAAAAAAATTGAACTGATCTTCTTCAGAAAAAAACACCAATTCTTGGCAAGTAATTTAAAAAACTTCAATTGGACTATCAAATTAAGAAGCCAAAATAAACGAGCAACTTGGTGTGATGGCTAAACTGACTAAGAACTGGACTAGATTGAACTTCAAGATTGAACTTCAGCATTTACGAGTGGCTCAGAATCAATTTTAACTAATCACCAGCAACATTTTATACCCGTATCAGGTGCAAGCCTTTAACATCCAATTTTAAACCTTCATTCTGACGTTCATTCTAATTTGTAAGACAAAAGTAATACCAAAGAGTGTCCAGAAAAGAAATGCAAAATCTAACCCCTTATTTTTGGGTACTTTGGGGTAATTCAGTTGACGTTGTGGAAAGGAAGGCGCTGATGAAAAAAGGAGAACTGGTAGCGCAATGCGGAAACACAGTAAATGACTGTGTCAATTTCATTAGCATAAAGTATCTGCAAACAGAACTCGATTGATGAAGATTGACGCCATTGACGCAGACCGTAATTTGATTAAAATCTTGTTGCTGTTTTCGATGACTGTTGAAAAAGTCTTTTTTTCTAATGATATTTAACAAGAACTCTATATATTATCAAGTGCACAGTTTCAAGTTGCATCTTCGAACTGGGCCAGCAGGAAATCGAAGCATTAGTTGCGAGATAAATTATGAACTGTTTGCTAGAGATTATATACAATGTAGCTTATTTTCTAAAAAGAACTTTTATTTTGAACGCGTGTGGTATATTATTATAAGTCACCAGATAAGAGTTTAAGCCAAACACCGAAAGTGCAAGTCACTCACAGCAGATTGAAAACTTCAAAAACTACGATGAAACGAGTGGACAAAATTAAAAGCAAGCTCATTTTTATGATCGCTTGAAGGACAGTTTGTAGGACGATTTAAGACAAACTTCACTGAAGAATTCGAACAACATTTTACATCGACAAAAGTAAATAAACTCAGCTATCCTGTGTGAAAGGATCAATGTTTTCAGGTACTTAGTATGGGATTCCCGGTCTGAAATTGCCAGTTTTCACCATCTGGATTAGGTTTCCCTATCGGCGTGATTTTTATTCAAAGCGAAATAAAAACAAAGATAGCCAGTTACTGTGCAAGTAGCACAGAATGTTTAGACCATAAACTTTTTTTAAAAATATATCAAAAACACTATTAGTCATAGTAATATAGGCAATTTGGACAATTTTTTTCCAAAATTTGTAAAAATTACTAAATAAACAAAAATCGATAAAAAAAATTAAATATCTTTTTTTGATATTTTTGGTTCTCAAAATGGCGCAAAAAACCAACTTTACTTGCTTCAAACTAACTTTTCAGGGCTTAATTTAAGCATAAATAAGCCGCTGTAAGCCTGCTTGCCCGATTTGTTTGCTCAAAATTGAATTGAAATCAAAAATTTTAAAACAGTGTTTCTCGATACTGAGACAACTTTTTGAAAACGTTTTAATGTCGTTTGAATCAAGACTGAAAGGGCTTCAATTTGGAATACTACTCACCCATTCCAATGAAAATTTTTAGTACTTGACTTTGCGCAGAAAACAAAAGTAAAACTAACTCGCCCCCGAAGACAAAGTTCCTAATTTTTCAATTCGTCGGAACAAAAAGGTTCACAGTGTGAAACATTCTCAGCCATAGAACTGAACTGTTCAATGTGACAACGTTCCTACACTTGACTGTGTTTAAGAATTTTAACTAATTGAGAAAATTTTACCTCATTGGCAACATTGGTCTTTTCAGACCCAAAAATAAACATTACTTCTTTGAAATCAAGGAAACGATATTTTCACTGAGGGTAGCTGAGATTGTTTGTTCTCCGTGGATGCAAACAATTTACTTCAATTCGAAGTTAACTTTGTGCAAAATAGTCCTAGAACCGATAACATCTCAATTGGTATAATTCTCAAATGGCATAATTTCTATGCAACAGTTGCATTCATACTTTTTTTTTGAAGAGAACTATTTTGTGAATAAGGTATGAAAACTAGTAAAATTGTTAATGTAAATTGATTGAGATTTTATCTTGAAAAAAGTTGTCAGAACTCATATCAAAAGCATGAGTTTGCTGTTACTAAGTAATGTTTCCAGCATTGCAAATAGCGTAGCAATTTCTCCAGCACTGCGATCATTTTTTCAAGTTGTCGCTCCTGATGAAAAGTAAAAATATTAGTAGATAAGAACTATTAGAACTATCAAAGGAGAAATATAAGTTAATCCTTAACCAGCTTCTCCAGCATTGCAGATCAATTTTTCCAGAAAAATTTGAACTTTTTCATTATTTGTTTGTAAGAAATTATTTCCGAATTAGTGTTTTTCACTCCTTGTAAAAAGAGGAAATAACAGTTCATGGAAAGGGTAAAAACTTAAACATAATGACATTTGTGAAAGTTTTCATTTTTGTCGAATTTGGGATTTATTCCATTTGGGAATTTACCCTTGAAAACAGGCAGTTCTAAAAAACGGAAATAAAAAACTGAATTTGCGTTCAATTTTGTTTTTTTTTCTAAGAAGGAACTAAAGACTATTAAATTTTATTTTACTATTACGCGGCGTGTTCTACTGTGTTACACTTTTTCTGGACAATGACCTGAACAAATATACTGAACCAGTATTTGATCACTGAAGCCTATATTGTGCTCAATTTCAATTGAACAAAAACGCAGAAAAATCAAACTAAACAAAGCAAACGTTATTATCTTGCAATAGTTTCTGCTAACTGCTAAAAGACTTTCTTAATCCACATAAACTTATTTTAACAATTGCACATCTTAGAAAAAATATTTAAATGGCAAAAAAAAAATTAACTGATAAGAGCACTGAAATATATTTAATGCAAATTTGGAAAAAAGGCAAGATTTATTTCGCTGAAAACTCAGACGCCTAAATTTTTGACAAAGAAATTCTAAGTTAAAACCATGACGTCTACTGTAACCGCTTTTAGTGTCACTGAGAATTTTCTTCAAAACATTGAGTAAATTATTGACTGTATGTTAATTTATCTTATCGAACAAAAATAAGGTTTGCAGTAGGTATAAAGTATAACTTTGGGTCAGTCGTATTTAAGTATTATAGCACTGTGTTGCACTTCGCATACACAAAAAAAATATGACCAATAACGCTACTTAAAAACATCCGACCCTTCCTAGTTTCAAACCCTCTTAATTTGTTGCGGGTCCCCTTCCCTACCTCTACTCTACGCTACATATCAAGGATACTTTGCGGCTAAAGTGCTAGTCTGTGTATACATCCTTAGCATTGGCTGTACTTAATAGCTGGTTATTGATCAAAATGAACACTTTCAATAAGACATTTTGTCGCAACGATATTTGCGTCGCAAAAACATTTGCGACTTAGGTTGAAAAAAGAGAGTTCATGGTATGACACAAGCTTTGCTTGTGTTAACAACTGAACACTGTTTATTTTTGTTATTTAAATAACTTGCGCGTTCGAAAATTACACACTGATCATTCAAAACTTGTTCAAAATTGAACTAATGCTGTTGCAGCTATTCGTTTAACATGAAGCACCACGAATGACAAACCACGATAGTATTATCAGAAAAATTTGAAAAATCCAAGTCGTAGAACCAAATTATGAATTTTATCTAAGCAATATTTCAAACAATGAAACAGTTCTTATCATGGTAACGTTAATATATATTTTTAAAATTGAACCATTTCTAGGAATTTTTATGATCATCTCACGTGATTTTCCTTGAATTGCGGGAGACAAACCCTGCGCCATAGATAAAAATTACGATATTCGAAATAATAACAAGGATAGCCGGTTGCTGTGCAAGTAGCACAAAATTTTACTACAAAGTTCACAGAAAAGAGTTATTTCTTTTTCTTCTTCAATTCAGTTTCATGGTGGCTTTTTTGTGCGTAGAGATAAGAGGATCAAACAAACGCGTCTATCAGTAATGAATTAAGCTTAATCGACAACAATTTACAACTTAAAATTAACAACACAATTAAGGAAATTCAAAAAACATTATAAAAACTTTCTTTTCCAATTTTAGACATCTTTTTTTTGCCAGGAAGCACTGAAAGATTAATCAAAAACTACTGGTCAAACCAAGCTTACTGAGACTAAAGGACTAAATTTCTCACACACAGGCGAATGGGAGCTTCGTATCACTGGCGGTACAGGGCAAGCGCAGCATTGCAAGCAAGCAAATAGTAAGAGAGACGGAAATAACAAAATTTAAAAAATGGTAAAACCTAGTAAATGTATCCGAGAAATACTAGTATTAAAACTACAAAATCAGTATTAGTTGATTTTCAACTAACTTCTCCAGCATTGCAGATCAATTTTTCCAACAAAATTGACACTCATAATTTCCTTGAGAGCAATTAATTCTCAATTCGGGTTTCCACTTCCGACAAAAAAGAAACAACTAGCAGATGGTTCCGGTGAAACACTATTATAACTATTAACAGAGAAATTTTAGATGATTTCCAACTAATTTTTCCAGCGTTGCTTAAGAATTTTCCAGCCAAATTATCACTCAATATTTATTTGTAAGAAATTTATTGAGAACTTGTGTTTTTACTCCTGGTAAAAAGTAGAAATAATAGTAGATGCCAGGCTTGAAAAATTGAAAATTAAGCCATTTGAGAATTTTTTTATCCAACTTAGAATTTACGCTATTTGGGAATTTCGTACAAAAAACGAATGTTATTTCTTGTAATGAATTTTTGCTAAAAATATACTTCTTTAATCCGCATCAACAACTTTTAACGCTTGTAACGAAGGTCAGAAAAAGTTTTTTAATAAATCGCAAAAAATCATCACCGATAAGAGCATTGCAAAAAATTTAAGGCAAGTTTGGAAGTAGGGCGGCGCGATTTTAAGGCTAGATGGCTTGCTGGTTGGACAGATGGCTAGATGGCATAATGTATGGGTGGCTGGGTGGATATATGGCTGATTGACTGCATGTCTGGCTGGAAGTATAGATTGCCGGAGGGATGGATAGATGACTTGAAAAAGGCTATCTGGATTGATGGACGATGGATGGCTAGATAGATGGATGGCTCGATGAATGAATAGAAGGAGTGATTGGATGCTTCTTTAGATGGTTGGATGGATAAATAGTTAGCTGGATCGCTAGATGGAAAAAGTGTTTGATGGATAGATGGCTTGATCGATTGATTGGTAGATTGCTGGATGAATGGATGACTGATTAGATGGTTATCTGGATGCATGAATAAATGGCTGGAAGGACACGAACCTGTCCTGAACCAGCCTGCTCTGCCCTCTTTGCTCTGCCTAACCTTGCGCTGTCTTATCTTTGGCTAACTTGCCTTGCGTTGCCTTACACTGCGCCGTCCTGCGCTTCTCTACCCTGCCTTGCACCCCCTTACAAAACCCTGCTGCCTCTCGCCCTGCCCCAACGGACCTAGCGCTACCCCGCCTTGCCTTAAGCTTCCATGCCTTGCCCCTCTGCTCTCTTACGTGCGTTGAATTTAACCCAGGCCTTGCGATTTCTCGTGCAGCCATGCACTTCAACGCTGGCCCTGCCTTGCACTCCCTACCCTGATTCGCCCTTTCTCGCCCCTTTTCTCCCTGCCCTGCCAAGCGCTGGCCTACCCACGCCTTGCCCCTCCTCGCCCACCTGCCTAGCACCTCATCATTCCGCGCTGCCCCACCCTGCCCCTTCTCGACCTGCCATATTCTCCTCGTCCTGTCATGCCTTTCGCTGCCCTGCCTTTCCGCTCCTCGCCCTGCCTTGCGCTGCTCTGCCCAGTCATGTGGTGAAAAATTTTTAGAGCACTGCAAAACAAGTGGCAGCTTAAACGTGTACAACTTCGTTCGTTTCTGAAAGCTTGAACATGAAACATGGTACAGCTTAAACATGGGAGATGGGCACAGGCATTTAAATATAGAATAGATTATTAAAAGAAAAACTTAAAAAACCAAGCCATATGCCCAAAAAATGAATCTAGTCAATAAAACATTGCAAAAATAGGAATGTTCTTGTGCAAATAGTATACAGCGTGGCAAAGTAACTTATTTTTCGATTTGATTCGTTTCGCTTTAAGTTTAGGATCATCCTAAGCCTTCTTCTTTATTTGATAAAATAAAATCACGGCAAACCCTGCGTCATTGTTTTCTGCAATTTTTGTTGGACCGGAAAAAAGTGCTATATTCAAATTAACAACAAGGATTGTGGGTTGCTGTGGAAGTAGCACATAAAGCCATATCATGATGACATTCATAAAAAAATTACAAAAAATATTCCGTTTTCATGAAAAGTCGTTCAGGTGCGTAGTGTGATGAGAAAACTAAGCAAATGCTTCTTAAGTTAGTAAATCAGGCATAATCGACTGTAGTCCACAATTTCGGAAAAAAATTAATAAATCAAAAAAAAACTTTTAAATCCAAAACAAGTTTCATAAATTTTCTAATCTCTTGCGCTATCTTTTTTCACGCGTTTTTGGATTGTTTTTCGCCAAAGGAGCACTGCAAAAAGCATCCATATCTTGTATCACCAAAATTTTTTAAAGTAAGACCAATAATCATACACGGCGATACAGGGTTAGAACAGCATTGCAAGCTAGCGAGTAGAGAATGAGACGAAAATAACAAATTTAAACAATAATAGTTTTAAAACAGTCGAAAAACTGCCAGCTTTAAATATGTTTCTAGTATTACCCAGCAGTACCCTAGCAAATCAATGGGTAGGCACCTCCATCTGAGAAAAACCATAAAAGTTAACGTCGTAAAAAACTTTAAGCAATTAAGTTTTGAAAACTTTGAAACTTTGCAACATAAAATACCTGAAATTTTTGAAAACAAAATCTCAATCGAATTTGTTTTGAAGTGACAAATACTAGAATAATTGAGCAGATGAAAATTCGGCCGAAACTATTCAAGCCGAAAAAAGCTTTTGAAGTGACAACTTAGACAACAAAACGTAAACAGAATAACATAAGTTCGGCATTCAATTTTTCCAGGATTTTTTCCACTTAATAAATACTCCAAAATGAAACAAGGTCCGACCGGGACTTGAACCCAGACTTTAGGGTAAAAAGGTATCTGCATTACATCTAGGCCGAGTCAGGAAAAAATCTCGAAGTTGCTAAGGTTCTTTAAAAAAGTAAATTCACAATTTCTTACAGCTGTGTGAGAAAAAATATTTGATTGAAAAAGCGAAAATCCCATAAACAAAAAACGTGCTCTCGCAAGTGTAATAACGAACGTTAGTCATTTTCATAACATCTATTTTTCTCGATATCGGGACAACTTCTTTCGAATTATGACTAAAAGGGTTTAATATTATATATCACTCGAACCATTCCATTATTTGAGGTACCTGACTTTGTAAGTAAACCAAAAAAGAAACAACTAAAACACACCCGATTACAAAACTTCTCCTCATTTTCTCCTCCAAACAAACGGATTTAACGCTCAATGATCAATTTTCGATAGAAAAAGACAAGAACGGCAATTAGATAGCAAGTGACTTCAAAAGCTGTTTTGATGTTTAGTTTCATTTGGGTGGCTACAAAAGAAGCCACACTTTTTTGCCAAAATCACAAATACATATTGTGCTTCTGAAACACGTGATAATATCAAAATAATTTGAAAAAAAAACTTTTTCTCTTCAAATAAAAATTTCACTGAACAAATTACAGCACAGCAAATCTGCCTACTACAGCACAGCAAATCTGATAGTTCGACAAGCGACAACTCACTTTAAAAAAAAAAACATTTTATTTCTTAACATTTTTCAAATTTTGAATCAAAAATAGATATTTAACTTCTAAAAATAGAAAATTCAATTTTTCCAATTTCTTGATTGAGTACAGTAGGTTTTTCCCACTACTTGCGTTTCTTTCATGGTAGATCGTAATTTATCATCCATTCATCTGATAAAATTGCAGTGAAAATTTTAAAGTCCAGCCTCGAAAAAATAAAATCAGTGGATCGATTCTGAAGTGATAATCTTTCTTATCAACAAGTTTCAAGAGAGTTCAATTCAGACTTCAAGAGTGTTCAATTCAGACGTTGGTATGTTACAAATTACACTGAATTTCAGAATCAAATTTGGTTTATTTCATGATTTATCAAAGTGCGGGAAAGTTGCTCCAGCAACATGCTCCCGGTCCCCGAGTTGGGCTCAAGTCAAGGAACTTTTTTGAATCGAACGAAAAAACGCGTGCGAGTGCACTAGCCCGGCGGTCAAAAGTTCGCTACGCCGTTCTTACGTTAACGATTCGAGTAGTCTCATCTCGTTCAGGATGTTCTGCTGTGGCGCGTCCCAAACGCCATATTCCACGCGGCGTCAGATATTTCAAGATCCAGATTAAATCCGTCTTTTTAGCGGTTGGTCTGCGAACTTTTTCGCTTCAACAGATTCGGTAAATGTTCCTTTTATAGTCTTCGCCAGATCTGGTTAAATAATTGTTGTTGTTGAGACCAATTTTCAAGGCGGAGTAGTAAGTTGATCGTCAAAAGTTGCTGGTGGTAGGTTGCTGAAAGTATGTTGGATTTTAGAATGATTCGGGGTCAGTGGTTCTTCATTGTCTGCGATATCGGCAACGTTTGTCAGAGATCTGGAGTTTAACATCGAATCTGTTTCCGTGAGAATGGTATTGAAAAAAAACTAGGGTACGTTTTTTAGAGCCAAGAATAACTAAGATCGTGCGTTTGGCGACCTGGACTAATTGCTCCCAGGCCCCAACAAAACGAGGTCCATATCGTGGGTTAAATTTCCATTCAATCCCACCCAGGAGCGCCAAAGCATGTAGTGTTATGTTATTCTTTCTTATCAACAAGTTTCAAGATCGTTTAATTCAGACTTCACATTCATATGCTACAAATCACAGATACTTGCAGAATCAATTTTGACTCATTTCATGATTTATCAAAATGCGTGAAATTCGCTTCAGCACCAAAATCTCTGATAAAACTTGAAATGCTGCTGAATATGTTAACAGCCTGATTAACATGCGCTTGAGAAGTCTAGAAATTGTAATCCACCTGTGAATCTGACAGTTGAGTTCCATTTCCCTCCATTTTTACGTTTTGTAGTTAGTTAATCTCAGCGTAGCAAGCCTCCCATTTGTCAAAAAAATTTGAATTGAGTTAACCAAACTGCTGACCACTACAACATCCAAAAAACATCCTAGGAACAAAACCAAAAAAAAACACGACCTAATTAATTGAAACATAACTGTATTCATTAACTCTTGGTTTTTTTTTCGTGAAAATATCACGAAAATTTAGCCACTGAAAATTCATTCAAATTTCATTAGAAATTGTATATCTATATATTGAGTCATTCCATCATTTTATTGCTTTCAGCAAGCCAAAATGCACAAAAAAGGCCAACAGACAGTTAGGAAAATCACTTGCCACAAGAAAACAGAAAAAACACCGACTTGTTTTTTGAAAAAATCTCCACTTTCGAAAGTGGATCATAATGCCCGAGTCCATTGGTTGCGAATAATTCCACCGAGGTGAAATCTGGATTTTCAATAAAAAACAGCTCATGCAATAATTTAATAATTTTGGACCATATAGCAGAAAACACCCAAAATTCCTAATAAACAGCAAAATTCTCGTATTAATCAGCAATTGACAAAGATCACTCGAAACTTTAAGGATCTCAGAGAACTTAAGAAAAAAATTATTCAAAGTTAAATTATTTTCTTCAACCGACAAACTATTATAGCTTTATTTATCAAACTTATTTTACATAGTTAACTAAAATATGAAGACACTCCCGGTGACAACGTTTATTTAAACGATGGAAATTGGTCATTAAATGGAAGACAAAACACATATTTGCAAAAAAGATAGCAAAAATAGAATTATGATGCTGACATTTTCAGGTTAATTTTCAAAAATTGAAAAAATCGCTAAACGGTGTCCAAGATAATGACGTTGTCTGTATCAAAATCAAATCAATCTTCAAAATCGGTAACATTTTCTAATTGTCGTCCAACTAAAACAGCAGCACCATCACGCAATAACAATTTGCAAGCAAGAAGTCTATCTACATCTATTTCATGTCTTCACACCAGTTCTGAAAACCATATTTACCAAATACGAAGTTTTTGCGCCAAAAATGATCATAATTAACAGCAACATTGTCGACAGTCGACAAGCGTTGTTGAAAAAAAGGCAACCCAAATTCTAATAAAAGAGACTCGTATAAGTTTTAAAATTGCTTTCGATGAACTTCAAATGCGTATGTAGAGTCAAGACAAGAAGAAATACGTTTCATCCGACTTCGATTACGCTTGATTTAACACTCGTTATGAACAACTGCTTTCGGGCTCTAGAGAGTGATTACGTCATATCATTGCATGATTACTTCATCAATATTTGTTCCAAGTCCAACAACGTCATGTGATTGATCGATGACGTCATATAACTGGATGACGTAATTCGATTGTGATAATGATGTAATTGTTTTGGTCTAGTAGTTGGAGCTGGTGTCCGACCACTGGTCTATTTCTGTGGTCTGGGTTTGCAGCTCGGATAGAGTGTGTACTAGGTTGCTCCAAGCATCTGGCTGAGGCGTGCAGATGTTCTATGACACACATATAGATAAGTTTAACCTTTTGTATCAAAACGAAAACAAAAATGAATCAAACGTTAAGCTCCAAGCAGATTTAAAAAAAATTATGATATCTGAAATTATTAAGATATAAAAAAAACATTTGAGATTTAGACAACTGAGATTTTCGACACAATTTGAATGAATTTGTGATTTAAAGACAAAATGATCATATAAATTTGTCAAAAACCACAGACAAAGGAAATTGCCAATTAACACTGAAAAATTCGGGTTTTGAACAATTAGATGAGATTCATCAAAAATTGAAAAACTTGTTTAAACTTCATTTGGGGTTAATTATAGAAGGATAGCACACCTCTCCTATGTCTGCCACGTGTATCTTCCCGTCATCGTCACCCATCACAATCTTGCGTCCGTTCTGGGCCCACTTGGCCTTGATGATAGCGGGGGATCCCTCCAGCTGGAGAGAAGAGAGGGGCACTTCTGTGTCGTGGTTGAGGTTCCAGATGTCCATTCTGCCAGTGGTGAGTGTGGTGGCGAATGTAGAAGGATGCGTGGGACACCATCTACTCTCAGTCACATACTCGCCCAGTCCTTCCAGAGAGTGCAGAGGTCTTCCTGGAGCCTGAAACCAAACAAATTTTATCAGTTTAGTATAATAAAAATCATAAATTGCTCCAAAACCAATTTTTCTTTGTACTGGAAGTGTACAGGAACTTTGATTTCGGGTGTTTTTCCGCGTTAAGTGGTAGGAAGTCAAAGATAAATTATAGTGACGCTCGTTCAGTCGTTTTTCGATCCACCGATGTCAAAAAATCAAACTCCAAAAACTGAATAACTGTGAAGAAAAAAATAGAGAAATTAAAAAAAAAAAACTACTTTAACATAAATGCGAAGTTTCAATTCGCGGATACATTCAAAATTAAAGACAAATTCGACCCGCCTACTAAATCAAAAAAAGTTCAAAAAAATACTGACTTGTTTTCGAAAAAATCTTTCGAATTGCAAAGCAAAAAATAGATGGCCTTAAATTTCTTTGAAGTTCTAAAACAATTTATGATTGACTCTTTTTTGATAAAATCAACCCAATTTGAGAAAAATGGACGCTATTGCTATTCGATAGTAGAGTTTGCCTTCCTTTCAAAAAAGCAAAAGAACTGAACTGAGCGAAAAAATAAATTTCCTGGAAAAAAAGCATCAGGACCTATAACAGTCTGAACTATGTTCATCGAAACTTAAAAACTGGTATATAGCTAATAATAATAATCTTAAATCGGTCAATTTAACCATTTCTAAATAATCATAACTTTCCAAAAAAAAGTCGATTTTCTGAAATCGGGATTAGGACATCAGTGTCTTTCAGATGGTTTGAAATTGGAAAAGTCTGTATTAATATCATCAACAGCTATTGCAAGGAGAACTGGAGTACATGCAAACACTGTAAAAAAAATTGAACACAGAAGTTGAGCTCAAAAATTAGGGGCTTCTCCTGGAAAACAAGGACTCGTAATATAACAAGCGTTTTCTTGTATCAAACACACTTTGTTCATCAACACTCAATAAAAAATTTCAGGTTTTGAATTAAGAAAAGAAAAAATATAGACATACGAGATCTGGATGAAAAAAAATGACTGATTAGGTTTTTATCAAAAAAATTACGGCCTGATCGCACTTTGAATTTCAAGAGCAGTTTATGATTGATACTTTTGCGATAAAATTAACCCATTTTGAGATAACAGGATAAATTGGTAAACTTTCTATTTCGCAGGGAAATCTAAAAGTCAAAATTTACTTTCGAAACAATTAACTTTTTTGCGCCGTTTTCGCTTCCACAATCGCAGAGCGTAATTATCATTCATTTTAGTAAGTTAGTTTAAATTGCGCTGCAAACAACTCTTAAATTCAAACTTGGCATGAACAAGTTTTATAGACTTTTTCCTGAAAAAAAAACAAAAAAATTAAACAAAACAAAAAAAAATAAAACAAGGATAGCCGGTTACTGTGCAAGTAGCACAGAACGTTCCGACCATGGTCTTTAGAAAACTACGGTTTAGAAAGTTTTTTTTCCAACTTGGTGTTGTTTTTTCTGCTGGGTGTGATGAAAGGATCTCACGTAAAAATATAAATAAGGCATATTATACAGTCATAGTAATAAAGGCAGACTGGACAAAATTTTTTGTAGAAAAATTACTTGGAACATATAAAAAATTTTCGAAATTTGCAAAAATTTTTTGATTTTTTGAAGTTTTTAGTTCCCAAAATGAAGCTAAAAAAACCAAAAACCAGTTTTACTTGTTTAAAATGAAGTTTTAAGGACTTAAATTAGGCATAATTCAGCTGTTGTACGCCTGCTTGCTTGCTTTATTCGCACGAATTAAGACGAGAAACCAAAAATTTCAAACCGGTTTTTCTCGACACGAGGAAATTTTTTGGAAATTTATTAATGTGGTTCGAATCACGACTTAAAGTGCTCTTATATGATATATCACTTAACCAAGATGGATGATTATTTGTGTTACCTGATTTTGCGTGGAAAACAAAAAAAAACTAAAACACACCCGAATATAAAGTTCCTCACCATTTTTCAAATGGTCGGAACAAAAACACGACCTATAAAAGTCGTCTAGAACCATGCGCCTTTTTTGGACTCTGATACGATTCTTTCATCAATTACGTCACTTAAGAGCTGACTCAGATTCACTGAACTGAACTACTATGATTGAAAGTTTTCGATAAAAACAACGCGATTTGCTCATAACGTTTTTTTCTTCCGCTGATAATACTCATAACTGAATCTCCCTTCGGAACTAAGAGTAAGAGCAAATTTTTGCTTTATTTTATCTTTCGCAAAATTGCAGCAGCGCATTCTGAGCTTCGCTTGGAATAATAATTTGAATTTTACGAAAATGATAACTTGACAAAAACTACAAAAAACTATCGCTTCGCTGTGTTAAAATCAGTTTTTTTTAATGGAAAAAATGGAAAATTTGAGCTAATTAACTATTAAAGCTGTGAAATGAATTTGAACATCACTTCATCGATATCGAGTAAAGCGCTCCTAGAATCATTGCATGTATTCTGTACATAATTAATAGACTTCTAAAAAAATTTTACCCAAAAATATGGACAGTCCTTAGAAAAAATTTGTACGCTTTAGCTTGGCGTACTTTAAAAATATATATATATTGATCTGAAAATCCATTTATTTATTTGGCGAGACCGGATTCTGCAAATCTGTTAAATTATTAATTTAATTTTATTTGACATCATTATTCGTCACATAAACGCGTGTCGTTCAAAACTCATGATGCCTTCAGTTTAGGAATTCAATTATAAAAGCAAATTAAAAAAGACAACAGACAAAAGTCATAACAGATACGCGCAAACAATGAATATTAATTATAAAAATGAGGCCCATTTTTTGATTTATCATTTCCGAATATTATTTTGCCTATTATAGTTTTTTAATAGCAAGTATAAAGCTAGCGTCTTTCTAAATCAACACAACAATGCTTCGTACATCAGCTAACTATGAAATGACGCCAAATAAGGTTAATATTTGAAAGAAAAATTAATTAAAATCATTTAATAAAATCGGCAAACAAAAATGATACAAAAATAACTATTGTTATTCACACAAATAACAAAAACAATTGTCATTAAACAAAAAAGATGAGAGACGAATTATTGGCTAGCAACAAAACCACAATTATGGGAGAGGAGGACAAAAAAGAGCATTTGATTAGAATCAGAACAGACGAATGAAGCTTCTTTCAGATTAGAAGAGGAGCTATTTAGTATTTGCAGAGCAATATTAGAGAGAGGCTATCAAAATAAATGAGGGGATCAATTTTTACTAGAAACATTAGCAACCTGTGATTAAAGAGGAGCGAAAAAAGAATTTTAATTTCATACTCTTTCTCGGTCGAGATGGCTAAAGATTATGTGCATTATTGTTAAGTGGGACACTAAAGACAAGACGGATCAACTTTACTCTTAATTATTCAATTCCCTCTTCAATAAAACAACCCCATCAACCACCACCCACCACCCAACAACCCCGTCGCAACATCACCACATCACAATCAACTCGAGAGAAAAACTCGAACGGACCCCTGCACCGCTTTCTCAACACTTCGCTATTCTATCATAGTCCCCCCCTCACCGGCCAGACGCCGTTTGTTCAAAATCAGCCGGAAAAAGGAGCCAGCAAATAGCAATAAACTCGGCATCAAACCGGATCAGCGGCCTCTTAATTTCCGGCTTTCATTGCGACACACTACACACAGGAGTTACTCTCAACGGCAGACCCGACCTCATCCAGATTAATTACTTCATCTCATTTCTATTCTATTGTCATAATAATAAAATTCCACAAAATCCTCCAATAAAAAGTAATAAAGCGAACAGAAAAAAGTTCATTTGATTCACTTAAATTAAAACTTATCATTTTTATTTAGGAATCGGTCGAGAAATATTTTCTGAAATTATTAACAAAAAACAGCGATTTGAGCAAACTTTCAGCAAAAGTTGTTTTTATTCATTTTTTCGCGGCTAATCCGTAATTAATTAATCAACAGCGGCGCCCATTCATAACGCATCACAAGTCTAATCGAATAATTGCTTTTAAATCCTTCGATTAGTCGCTATTCCTCAATTGATTAGTTTGAAATGACAGCTCTGTGTCCCTCTCCTCAAAATAACAACAATAAACAATCTTCACCCGGAATAGTAACAGCGAAATTGGAACCTTCCGAGGATCGACAACACATGTCATTTCAGTTGACCCCCACCGGTGAAAATCAAGACAGCCCCCTATTAATCAATCAGCCCACTAATCCCGCCCAAATTAAAAGCCCAAATCACATGAATTACACCCGCTATCCAACTCTAAACCCGTCTAATTGTTTCTCATTAATCGATCATCAGAATCAATTCTCACTTTTAAACAGCGCATCTTTTCCAACAACTTTACAAAACTTTCAGTTTTCGCATTCCAACTCAAAACCAACTTCGCCAAAAACGGCAACTCAAACGTCGCCACTTGGTCATAGCGTTTCAACATCCGTGGAAAACTCGCAGAAACCAGTTCCTAACAATTTCAGCAGAGAACTCCTTGAAATGTTTTACAACTACAATGCTTGTCGCTATGGACCTCAATTAACTTCAGGGTTCCATAATATGGCCAATTCCGAGGTCCACACATCTGGTCATAATACTATGCCCTTCTCCAATTACCCAATGGGAGGTCCGATTTTACCCCAAATTCAACAATGGGCTTCTAATTCCCCAGTAATGAATGCAGTCTCAGCTGCATCAAATAACCAAAATTTAGATTCACGATCTGATAGCAACTCGCTCCTAGATCAGAACGATTCGGTAATTTCGGCCCATAAATCGGAATATGTTAACAACCGATACACTATTGATAAAATCCTGGATAGCACCACTTCCTCAAAAGATAAATCCAAAAGAATCCAACTTGATACAAAGAGTTCGAGCTCTGCTGCTTTGAAGGGAAAGAAAGAAAGAGATTTGTCGTCATCAACTTTTGATTCCAAGGATTTCCAGGTTCACCCACACAACAATTCGCTTTTCCACCACCAGCAAGCGGCAGCAGCCAGTTTGATGCTGACTCAACACGCCCAGGCTGCTCTGATGCGACAATGGCAACAGGGTCAAATTTTGAACTTCGGGCAGGCAAAGGACTCAGATCAATTTACAGGTACAAAAAAGAATGTCGACACATTGAGCTTTCTAACAATTAAAACAGTTCTAACAAAAACTTATGCAAAAATTTGAAATAATCCAACGCAAAAATTAGTTAAAATGCGTTTTTCTTCAGCCATAAGAGAGAGACAATCAAGTTCATTTAAAAGATGGTTTTCTGTTTTTAGATGGAGCTTCACGTCCGCTACCACTGTTGAATAAAGACAACCAAATCCAGATGTCCATCCCGACATCAAACCACGGCTTCTCTCTGGATCCCTTCAGTGGGGCTAACTTCAGGTCAAACCCAGGCCAGCCACTTGACCTCACTCCAAACGACGAAACAAACCCATTGTCTCTTCTCAGTTCAGGAGGGGACAATGACCCTAACTTTGGGGAGGGCTCTGGCGTGAATAAGAAGCACACTCGGCCGACATTTTCAGGACACCAGATATTTGCTCTGGAGAAAACGTTTGAACAGACTAAATATCTGGCTGGACCTGAGAGAGCGAGGCTCGCATTCGCACTTGGCATGACTGAAAGCCAAGTCAAGGTAAATCCACTTTTTCTCAAACTTTCGGCGAAGCTTCAAATAGCAATATGAGCCTATTTGAAATCGTATTTTACTCATTCGATTTGAGAAACACTTCGATATTGATTTGATTTCAAAAGCTTCAATATGATAGCTTAAATAAGTTGTATTTAAATTTTTCGTCGCTTTTCACTTCAAAACTTTTCATTTTATTTCAGGTGTGGTTCCAGAACAGACGCACCAAATGGAGAAAGAAACACGCAGCTGAAGTGGCTTCGAACAGATTCAAACTACAACAGTCCATTTCATCCTCGAACAACCCCCACTCAGTCGGTCACATGGTGGGGGGAGCATCCGACCTAGACCACGACTGTCCCCCCAATACTCTCAACCTCACATTGGGAACCGAAGACGATTTAGATGACAACTGTCTTTATAGCGACTCAGATTAAACAAACAAACAAACAAACATTTTGCTTTACATTCACGTTTTTGGACATAAATAATAAAAATTTGAAATATGTGTGAAAACATAGGTGGTGGCAAAGAGGCTTCTTTTTATATAATTTTCTCATCAATTAACTCGGTAGTTTCAGCGTTCTTCTTGATTAACTAAAAAAGCCCAAATTACCCATTTTTGGAGGAAAATGTTGGCTGCGAATTTCGAAAAATAGATTGTACTATAATAATTCTGGTGAAACTCTGAGCAACTTTTGTTCACTTCTCACTTTATCTAATCTTAACTCAATTTGAGAAAAAAGCCTTTGAAATTTCAAACTTTGTTCGTTGTGTCCGGTTAATTTAAATCAGCACTATATAAATCCAAAACACAGCCCAGAAAGAGTTGAGGTATTCACAGAAACTAAAAAATCAAGGTTTTTTGCAACACTCGATGGTCTGTCACGAAGTAAAATATGTCACCTTGAAGCTCTCTGAGTTTGATTAAGCTTCTACACATTTTTCCTTCCGGACAGAAAATGAAACTAAAAACCGAAAAATTAAAAGCCACAAGAAAATATGAAAAAACCACACCACAAATATTAGCATCTTTCATCGACGACTAGAAAAAGACCACGTACCGCAACCCTGACAGGTCGAATAAAACGGCCCTTTAAATTTTTTGCATTGTTAAATTAAGTTTGCTGAAACAAAATTCGGGGTGTTCAAAACAATCAAAGTTGATTAGTATAATGCCAAAACCGAGCCAAAAAATGTCTTGAAAATTGGAATAATGTTGTAGTAATTTAATGCAGGTTACAACGTTTTTGCGTCAACACAAAGGCGATGCAGCACTTCTCAAAGCCAACCACTAAACACCAAGAAACAATTTATACAGAAGCGAAGCCGCACTTCGCTAACACTAGCCAGAACACGACAAAAAAGCTGCTTTATAAAGTGAAATAGGAAGTAGAAATAAGCCACGAATTAGAAAAACTTTGCTACGTATCGGATTCGAACTTGCGACCTCGAGATTTTGAGTCTCACGCCCTGCTCGCTCTATCATGAACACTTGACATCCGAGAAACACTAGCATTAGTGGCATCAAATACAAGTAGATACAATTTGTCATGAAATAATTTGAAATATAACTAACTGAAGACATCCACGCAAACTTTGCTCATAATTAATTCGAAAGCATAAAACCACATTATGAATGAACTAAGCATTTCAAAAACATTGCGAGATATATTGAGTCGGAAAGTTTCTGAAATCGAGTTTTTACACAGAGGCGAAGTTGCACTTCGCATACACAAGCAAAAATATGACCGATAAAGCTGCAGGGAAAAACTGAACGAGTAAAACCAGGGGCTGATTTAGGGGGCGGACGCCCCCCCCCCTTCAGGGATTCGACCATCTGCCGACCCAAAGGGTCCCCCTTTGTAATATTTTGAGACAACCATTTTTGGCTGACGGACCCTAAAAATTTTTAAAAGCGCCAATATATACTTATTTTGAAGGGGAGCGCGCGCCAAAAAAAACGCAATTTTTTGGTCAAAATTTAAAAAAAATGCTTATAAACGCTTTTTTAGCCTTTTTTTTCAAAGCTGTTCTGCGACGCACCTTTTAGGGTCTTTTTGGTGATTTTGGAGAGCTCGAAAATCAATTTGATCGACCTAAAAAAAGTCGACAAAATTTTCGAACTTTTTTTGAAAATCCGCCCCCTCCCTCCTCGAGAAAATTCTAGATCCACCCCTGGCCCCTGAATAAAACTTTGAGTCTACAAAATTTCTTTAGGGACGCAAGCCAAATACAACGAATTAGCAGTACCAGTCAATTTGAAAGGGAAAGAAATTTACCAATTGCACATGCCTCAATTTATAGAGCGGACGCATTAGAGGCCAGTTAAAGCTAAAAAAACCTGTTTGATAATTTTTGAAATTTTTGTATTGATGCGGAAGTACAAGGGTATTTTCAAAAACAGACCTATAGCAAAGAAAAGTAAATCCCAATTTAATGACTTCAAAACCTGTTAATTTCATCAATTGAATCAATTTTCTTTTGAAAACTTGAACTGAATACAAGAGCTTGTTAGGTTGAAAGATAGTTATAATGTTGCACATTAGATTTGGTTCGGTAGTTTTCGAGAAAAATCAAGTTTCACAAACTCCATTTCCTCGCTGTTTCAAGGGTTTGTTGTTGTTTATCAAACATGTTTTTCCGGCCCAACAAAATTTTTGAATTCTCAAAGGATTGAAAAGTTAAAACTAATTGGTAAAAATGCTAGCCAGTGGCTGTGCAAGTAGGAGAGAAATTACAAACAAGTTGATTAAATTTTTAAGAATCTGAAAAAAAAAACAATTTTTTCAATTTGTTTTTTTTTTCGAAATTTCCGATCAACTAATTAAAAGCGAAAACACAGAGGCTAAGAATAGAGAGAAAACGACAAAAGGCAGCTCTATAACGTCAACTAATAAAAAATTGAAATGAGCTTAGATTTAGCAAAAGTTTTCCTATGTCAAATGCAATCCTGCGAACTCGAGATTTAGAGTCTCGCGTTCCCAAATCTGCTCCGCCGGAACTTGAAAGCTGGTTAGCACTGTCCAACTATGATGCAGCTATAGATGCTAATAAATTGCCAAGGCTTTGCACCAAGAATGCCACCAAATATAAATAAAAAGTAGTGCTTAGAGTAAGGTTGAACCTCCGACCAGTAAATTAAGAGTATCAAGACCTTCCATCTATTCCTCAGCCAATACGCGATCGACAAATACTAGCCACAAATAAAGCAGAGAACAGATACTTCGATTTTTTCAATGCTACATATCGTGATTATCGCAAAAGTGCCGCCAAATGAGCATTATATTTGCGGGCAAAATGGCAAATTTCAAACACCCAAAACTTTACGAAAAATGATCACAGGTGAAATATCTTTTCAAATTTAAGCTCAAGACAGCACTACCTTTTGAATGATTTAAAAAAAAAACACCGTCAAAAATCGCTAGTTAAAAAGACGAATTTTGTCTGAAATAAAAAAAACCACCCCGAGCACTATTAGTCCGCGATCGACAAACACCGTAAAAAAAATTCCGTCAACAGTTCCGTCAAAAATGGCTTGTTAAAAAGTCGAAATTTGTCTGAAAAAAAAACACACCGACCACAATTATTCCGTTACTTTCGTTACGAAATTCGGAACAAAAATAGACGGTGTTAATATTGTTAGCATTGGCTGTACTTAATAGCTGGCTATTGACAAAATGAACACTTTCAAAATGAACACATTTTATCGCAACAATATTTGCGACTTAGGCTGGAAAAAAAGATAGTTCATACTATAACACAAGCTATGCTTGTGTAATCATTGTACTGCTATTTGAAACAAATAACCTTTTTAGTTCATTTGATGAATTAAAAATACATCAGCTGTTTTAACTTTTTACTAATCAAATGCTAAAGCACTTATGATATTATACTGCTACCACAGCCTACCGATTCAAAGGTGCCACCAAAAGTAGCACTTTTATTTACGACTTCGGTTGGGAAAAAAAAGAAAGTTCGCACTAATACACTTTGCTTCGCAAGTGCAAAAAGTGTTGATATCGGAAAAATTTGTAGATATTTTTAACAGCTGAACATACTCTTGACAAATACGTCCCAAGTACGATGAAATTTATACATTTGGAGAAACTTATACTATCTCGAAATATGAAGCTTAAAATTCAGTACATCAAAGACATAAAATCAAAGTTGAAAAGCGTGAAAGCACCTGAAGGTAATTATAAAACCTTAACGCATGCCAAGCTACTTCTCCAAAAATTATCTCGATTTCCGATAGCTGATGATTTGGTTTCCCTGATCTTGTTAACAAACCAACCCTCCCCTAGATACCTAATGAACAATCTCCTCTGATACAGTAGGGATCGGAAATAGTTGACCAGTTCCGACTTCCATGCAGCTACGTCGTGGTTATTTGTTCTAAATTGGATGTATTTATGTTTGTAACTCTTTGAACATTTCCCAATGTTGCAAAAGTGAAGAAATAGTCGAAAAGTTCCGATTTATCTGTAGCTAAATTGGTAATATTTTTCGTTCTAAATTTTATTGAGTTTGTTAGTAACCTTAGTGGACCATAGCTTCGCAGACCAGTCGAAGGAAGAGGACACGAAGAGGTGGCTGAAGTCTATGGGACCTGGACACTGGTTGAAGTCCACACTCGTCACTGGCGCATAGTGTCTCTCATAGGTGTCCGTTATACCTGCAAGTAATATAACTTTATAGTAGTTCTACAAATAAAGCAAGACATTATCGGCACGTAAAATAGTCATCGCAAACCACCGTCAGATCAAATAAAACCTTTGAAACATCTAAATTTTCTCTGGGTTACTCAGCACCTCCGATATTGAATACATTTATGGAGCAATAGATTTATCAGTAACATCATTGAAGTGATATGCATTTGGTTGGTTCAGTGGTCTCTGCCTGAGACTTGAAAGACAGCTGTCAGTGTTTCGAGGGCCGCCATGATCACTGCTTGAGGGTTAGTCAACATTTCCCACACAAAAATAATCAAAAAGATTGCATGTATGCCTTAATCATAGTTACAAACGCGACCTTCCGTAATTAGCTCAACAGTCATAGTTGGCCAGTTCACTTGTGGATAGAAGGCTCAGGAATCAAATCGTACTAATCAATTCTTTTTCTTCGCTCCTACTTGTATGGACCATAAGCATTGAAACGTTTTTGTGGACTTTGGTGTGAATTTAGACTACCTGGTTTGCTCCCGTGTCTGACTGCCCCGTAGATATATCCGTCTTCTGCTCCGACCACGAATGAGTTGTACTCGTTAGTGGGGAAGGACATACACTTCACAGGCACACTGTTGTGTTTACTCGTCTGTGTCTTGCCCAGAGACGTGAACAGTTCCACTGTCTCCTGAAAGAACGACAATTAATGGTGGCTCCTGCGAATCGACGAAGTTATTTTTCTGAAGCAAGCTCTTTTTTGCAACTCAAGGCCGTGTGCTTAGAACTCAATAGATACACTCAATTAACCTTGCCGTAGACACTAAAACTGGACTTGTAAGGTATCTCTCCTATTCGCTTTTTTCTTCTTCATTTTCTGCGTGTGGGGTAGAGACAAAAAGCTATAGGTGAAAAAACTATTAATGGCTTAATTTAATACAGAAATTAACTAAACCAATATGCCACACATAAAGCAGAGAACAGATGCTATGAAATTTCCAAAGCTACAGATTGTGATTATAGCATAAGTGCCACCAAATAAGCACTTTATTTGCAAATTAGGTTGAAGGTTCGCACTAATACACTACGAAAAAAGAAGGTTCGCACAAGCTCTCTAGAGTAAAAACGATGAATAATACATGCCTGTGGCTCGGAGAGCATGTCCAGACTCCATGAGCAGAGTTTTCCGTCCGAGGAGATGGTGATGAGGTTGTGTGCATTCTCAGTCCCAATCACCTCCGTACAGAACACAGGATGCTACAGCAACACAGTCAAAACACAAAATCATTAGTAGTGTAATTGCTACCTTTTTTTTCGCGTTAAAAACTCGACAAGACAGTGATATTCGGCTCTGAATAGGTATTAGCATATTTTCAATCCAAAAAACTGCTCGCTAAGTCGGGATTCTTAGGATTCAACTAAAGCCCTCAATATGTACATATATATTTCAACGTTTTTGCTGACACCAAATCTTTTTTTAACTCCCAAGTTCAATCATACAAAATTAAATTAAGACCAGTCTGCCTATTTTGTAAAAAATTTGCATTGAACTGTGAAATTACTCGCTACCTTGAGGCATGAAATTTGTCTGAAACACCAGTTGTAGCAAGCACAAAAAATCTGTAATAAATCTTTCTAGTTTTGTTTTGTATGTTCGATGTGCTTGCAACTGTATGTGCTTACTTTATTACAAAAAATCTGTAATAAATCTTTCTAGTTTTGTTTTGTATGTTCGATGTGCTGCATAAATTATTCAATTGGTGACCATACCGTGTGACCCTGAGTGGGAAGAGCCGTTCTCTGAACTGGACTTCGCTTGTTGTTCCTGCTGTCCCAGATGACCACTCTGCCACTGTATGTGCCTCCCACCACTAGATTCTGATGGAACTTGGCAAACACTGCATTCACTACTGACGTCTGAAACATTGGTTTTCTATGTTTCAAATTTTATCACTTTCCAAACTATCGTGTTTTCATCGATCACTTTTAACTTAACTTCACGACATATATATTCAGTGGCCTGCTCAAATCTTTTTAATTTTTCGGCGGTGGAGGGGGGGGGGGCTGAACAAATTATGCCAGTCATTTCATGGAGACATTCTTTTCAAGTCAGCCATTATAAAATTAGTTCTACAAAAAATTCTGCTAGACAGGTAAGTTTTTTGAAAGCTTAGATAAAAATCGGCAAACGCTGCCCGACCAAATTTCGGGTATACTGAACGAAGTACTATAGACTTTTTAGGCGGTGCAACGATTGCAAAGCTGCACATTACCGATTATATCTAAAAGAAACTTAGCAATTCGAACAAGGACGAGGAAACCATTATCCGGTTTTCCTCCATTGTTCTAGCTGGCTAACCATTACAGGGTACTGGAATTATTGTTGACGCTATTACTCGCTACTTTTGGATACACACCCGTCGGAAAAAAACAAATAGCTATCTTCACAATCTTCTTGATTTTTTTTGATGCGTTGAATCAGGGGCGGATCTTTTTTTATAAGTCGACTTAATTGATTTTCCGAGCTCTCCTAAAGCACTAAAAAGACGCTGTTTTGGCAAAATTTTCTGCGCCGCATGCAAGTTTTTGAAAAAACAGGTCAAAAAATCCGTTTTTGGGCACTTTTGGAAAATGTTGACAAAAAAATGCGTTTTTTTGGCGCGCGCTCCCCCTCAAAGTTAGTATATATTGGCGCCAAAGGCGCCTTTAGAATAGTTTTAGGGTCTGTCGGCCGAAAATTGATTTCTTAAAAAGTACCAAAGGGGGGACCCTTTGGGTCGAATCCCTGAGGAGGGGTGTTCGCCCCACCCCCTAAATCCGCCCCTGCGCTGAAAAAAAATACCAAACACCAATGTCACAAAATTCCCTCTGGGAGAAAATTTTATACAACTTTCGAATAAATGAAAACCAAGAACAAGGTTCATTATCGAAAATATAGGAGACCTTCAGATAAAAACCTGTCCTTTTTGTAGCTATCTTCATCTCATCATCTCTCCTATTTAATTTGTTCACATGTACCTGACACTGATAAATGGCATCTGGAGTGTCCGTGTTGAAGCCTAGATTCCACACCATTGCCAGTCCACTGTTCTCCAGTCCACCCAGAGATCCCCCGGTGGATTCGGATGCTGCTCCGGCAGGGTGGTGGTCATGGGAGAAGGAGTGGTAGGAAGAGAGAACCTAGAACAACAGACACAAGTACTTAATCAATTTACATGAAAACGAGACAACAAACATTTTTGTAGTTACTTTTCTTGTTCGACAGAAGAAAAAATAAGGACAAAATTTACCATTAAAGCTCTTTTTAGATTAATGAGATGAAAAAAGTATATTACTGAGTTCGAAAAAGGGCTGCAAAGAGCTTATTGAATCACGGTTGCCATAAGAACTTGGTACGATTGATTTGCAACTCAGCTCGCTTCGGCCAATAAGACCCGTTCGTTAATTGAACCATTATCCTGTAGCAGGTGTATGATTTAACATTTGCTGTGCAGTACCAGTTCGTTGGGGAAGAAGGGGGACCAGTCGAGGCTGCTGATTGCACTGTTCGCACACCAGAAGTCCTGGTAGAACACTCTGGACACCTTCACTTGACTTCCGGGGTGGGTACTCCTAAACAGTTCTCACTCCGCCATTGGTTCACTCTTTCCTCATTGAGGACCAGGCAAAATGCATTTCATAACCCAGAAAAACATCCAAAAAAACTCCCTCCCCCCCCCCATAATGGTATTCACCCCCTGTAATATCAAATTAAAACGGTAAATTAAAACTAGAGCTTTTCTTTTCCATTGGTATTTTCAATTTTGCTGCTTTCTCATTGGTCGAAAATTCGATAAAATGATCTATTTACCAATCTCCCCCTTTTTTTATAAAGGGGATTGTTAAGAAGATCCCAGCGGCTCTTCATAAATAGAAAAGGAACCCATGTTGGAAGAACTCAGATAACTTTACTAACTGTAACGTCTTCAAATGACTGATTCGAAGAAAAATAGTTGAGTTGTAGCCAGAGTTGCACTTATTGCCACCGACTCAGAATATCGAATAGTAATGAGACTTACGAGCTCTTATCGTCGTCCTCCTGTATGTAAGGCTTGTACACATCCACCTCCGATGTGATCTTCCGCTCCACCAGTTGGGATGAGCGGGTGAGGAAAGTGAGGAATCCCTCTGATGACACGATGGCCGCCTTCTCCTCCTCCGTCAGTTCCTTGGCCACCACTGGAACTGGACTGCCACTCCCACTGCCAGACTCCTTCTTACCTGAAGGAACAAAAACAAACTTAAGCTTGTTTAGAGTTGCAGACAATAGTTTTATAGATGACCCTGAAAGTCATAGATTCTTAGCAGACATTCATCTGTTCTCGTTGTTTAAGCCTCTTCTTTCCTTTGAAGAAGGGAGTTGCATTTTCTTTGCTTGTGCTACCAACTACTCCAGTTTAGATACTAATTAGGCATTCAAAACTACAGAGTCTGGAGCAGAAATAAATGGCTTTTTGCTGCTCGAAACTGACAGAAGGTTGGCTTCACACATCCACATAGTGAAGTAATACAAACAAATAATCTCTGTCCGGTAAACGTACAAGCCTTTCTATCAATACACTATCATCATATTTTAGAATTGACAACAACACATCAAAATAACCCATCCCATAACATCGGGCACTCGTTGATGCAAAACGTATTTTCGAAGAAGAGCATTTTCGAGCCAAATTTTCGCCACGTGAATCAGCGAAAAATATTAGTTGAGTTATGGTTTTTTTACTTAAAACTGAATGTTTTGAACACCTCCAAGCAAATGTTTTGAACATGTGCTAGTCGCTATGAAAGTTCCAATTGCATTTAAGCAAGCTTGGCGTACTTAATTGAAAAGAAATGACCTTGACCTTTGTCGGCGTCCTTGTTCTCGGTCGCTTCTTCCTTCACAGTAGACGCTAGTTCCTCTGCATCCGTCTGCTGGGACTCCTTTGGCAGGAGGAACTCATCTGTCTGGGTGGATTTGGGGTAGAGGTAGTTCTCCGTCGGAGGAATGTCCACTGTGTTAAAGGAACCCATCTCTAGTTTGCTTGTGGACCGAAGAGACCTGGATGTTCCAAGGCCACTAGAAAAGATACAATTGGTATGAATTGGGTCCAATGACATGAAAGGGAAATAAAGTGTAAGAACACATTCAGATGAAAAGATAGCGAAGACTGATCGCGGGAAGCATCATATATCAACCATGTATTTAGGGAACCTCGCTTCAATCAAGACCGCCAATACCAAACATCTTTTTGGTTTAATATAGCGTATAGACTCTTTCAATTTTCCACCAACACCACCAAATTTTTTGTGCAATAAAAACTGGTTCACTACTCCCAATTGAAAAAGAAGGTTGTTCACTTGCAAACGTTTAAATCACAATTGGTTAATGTTAAAACAATGGTTTGCCATCATATGTGAACTTTGCCTTCATACATCATACTGTTGTAGTACTCTTTTAAAGAAACAATAAAACAATGAGTTGAGAATGATTCTGAACTGTAACCTGGCGTGAGTGAGCCCTTCACCCGAAAATGCCCCTCCGGTAGAGGATTCCATCATGCCCCCTGCAGCTGACATGCCAGAAGGGGGTGTAGATAGGAGGGACTGGCCAGTCGAGGGATCCACACCTGAGGAAGACTGGGTCGGAACCCCTGAAAGAACCCCCCTCAATGTGACATGCAAGCAACCCAGACAAAGACAGAAAATATCAGCAATAGTCTATGAACCCTTCCCAGAAAACAATTCCTAACATAAAGTGCTCGGGTTTGAGTTCCAAGAATGAAGTATCGAGAAAATTACTTCGAAACTCCAGTGGTAAAGACTTATGTAGAAATAGAAACAGAACCCGTCTCTACTGCGCATATGTACAAGGGAATTACATGTGTTCAACAGTTTTGAAGAAAAATGAATATTCAAATGTCATTTGTTTCGCTTGTGTTGAACCTACTGAAGTGCGTCGGAAGATACAATGGCGCTCAAAAAGGCACTGGACCCGGATTCACTCGCTGAAATGTGACCGTACACAGATTTTTCCAGATATTCAATTCAAATAAATCTAACATGGAAATAAAAAAGGTTAAAAAAATACAGTAGGTTTATTTGGTTACACTACGTTTTCGAAATAATTTCGTTAAATTGGAAATCTTCAAAGAGAAACCACTCTAAGAGCTTCTCGGTTTTTGTAACGACCACATACCAGGCCTAACTTGTTCCTTTTCCACGGAAAAATAGATAACTCAAAGAATATTCTCGGAGAATTGAGTGAAGTTCCATTTTAAGATAATTGTTGTCGTGATTTGGATTCCAAAACAAATTTCAAGTTCTCCGTCAAGAAAAATTGGTCTAATATTTTTGCTCTTTAAACTACTTTACCAAAAAGAGTGAATGTAAAGAAAAAACGTTTCTAGCCTAATTTTACAGCTCTTTTCAACTTATCTAAGCTATTATAAGCAGCTTTTAGGACTGGTTTTCAAAAGACTTCTACAACACAGAAAAGTAGAAAATCTATCAAAAATTAAATTTTTCTTTCATTTCTATTGCATTTCATTAGTTTCGTCGTAATATTTGTTGCTACTTCTAACGCAACCCGCTTCTATTTTTGAGTATTGGGTTTGCATTTGGTCTTGCTTTGGAAGGAAATCGAACTGGAGCCTGTCACACGCATTTTCTCCAGACCTTACCTTGAATGTCGAACTCCTTGAAGATGTCATCTGCGTTAGACCATCTTTCAGATGATCCTGCTGCTGCGCCGCCTGCAGGAGCATCCCCTTGGTCCTGCACAGATAACAATTAAACAATTATCACAGAATTGTCCGGATAGAACCAAAAACAGGATTGGGTGAAATTGCAAACCTTGAACAGCAATTGGTTGAAAAGAATTCATAGATGGACATCATCACTAGACAAAATGGACATAGCAAATTTTGTAAGTATGCAAGCAAAAATAATTCAAGGACATTAAATAGAACGTTTAATAATTGACAATCAAAAACTTGGAAATCGCTTTTTGCTTCGAGCTCCTCAATCGTTATTCGTGCAAAATTTTATTCGTGCCAAATTAAATAACGTTTTTTTTTCACAAATCTTTTAGAAGAAACCATTATTGTGCTCAACAGTTGTAGAAATCAATTTTTATCCCAAGATGAGATCAGCCGTTCTCACAGACAAAAGGATAATGCTTGTCAGTCAGTTCAATCTAGAGGAAAAAACAGCTTGTGGTCAAACTAAGTGCATACCAAACCCATGATTCCTCTCATCTAAAACTTCACTTTGCTCATACTGTTTGCAATGATCATAATGGGTACTTAATTTTGAAAACAACTTAAATCACACATTTGATTTCTACAAACTACCATCGAATATCATGCTTGTGCGAGGATATGTAAGCCGGTGCGCATTAAGGAAACCCCCTAAAGAATTTTGTTCTTTTCTATCACAACTGATTTTGTCAAAATTTAACTTTGAATCTAATTTGCCTGGCTTCGCATAATACTAGGGCTTAAAAATGAGACCAATAATCAAAAACTTATTAGGGGCCAAATGTAAGGCATCCAACAACCAAGCAAGATCATTATCATACTACAGATTTTAATTTAGTAAGCCAAACATAAGTTTGTCTATATTTTTCAAATACACGAGGCTCTATTTTATTGTGTTCAAGACTCTTTTAAACCAAAAATGTTGAAACAGACTAGGCATTCAAAATGCCATTGCCTGCGGCCAAACCGTGGTAGTTACAGTAGCTTCCCTTTTATTACTCACAGGCGAAGCTGCACTTAGCAAAAATGGCAAACGGGGATTTGGAAAAGAAAAAACAACAATCTGGATCTACGGTTTCGAACCACCGACCACCAAATTTAGAGTCTGGTGTCATCAAATCTGTGCCTATCTACCTAGCTCTACTCCCAAACACTAGCCAGCAATAAAACGCTAACTGTTAAATTGCCAAATAGAATCCGAGCAGCACACAGATATTGAAATTGAGCTTTTTGTTGAGCCCTAAATTATGCTCAAGTTAGGATGGAAAAAAGAAAACTATATTTAACGGAAATTTTTATTTCCGTAATGAATTTTGGAGACAACGTGATTGTTTTGCCGCAAAACTCCGCGTTTGCTTGTCTAAACAATATTCACATATATTTATACCTTAAAAAGACCACCAATTTTTTTTTAAATTAGGGCAGTCACTTTGTCCGACAAAAACCCACATGGTATCGCTATTCATTTTATTTACAAGCTAATATTTCCAACCCTACTATTAAATGGGAATTTTTGTAGGGTGGCTTTTGCTGCGACAACTGAAAGAGGGGAGGAACTTTGTCTTCGAGTGTTTTAGTTTTTTTACTTTTTTTTTCACGCAAACTTAGGTACAAATAATTATCAGAACTATTCGTGTTATAAACCATACGCAATTTCAGTCTTGACTCGAAAGACATTGAGAAACTTCCATAAAATTTCTCAGTGTCGAGAAAAACCGGTCAGAAATTTTTATTTTTTAGTCTAAAATTTTTAGGCTCAACAAATCTATTAGTTTGAGCTTTTTATTTAAGCGGTTATTATTTAGTTTTACTCTAAAATTAGTTTTAGAAGGTTCTTTTAGCGCCTTCTATGTAAATAAAACATACATATCATTTGAAAATTAGAAAAACTGTTTGTTTTTCTATTCATTTTTGTTAAAAACTGATGTCAAAATGCACAATTCCGTTTTTATGTAAAATATGGTTTCGCTCCATAGTATATCACACCACGGACAAAAACTACAAGAAAGGTCTGAATAATTTTGGATTGCCACCAATACAGCAGCTACAGTTTCTATCAAATTGCCAATGTTACACAGCAAAAATTCGATCGAAAAAAAAATATTTTAATCTTCCGGATTTGAGCATCCGACCTGTTGTTTATGAGTTTTACGTCCTCGCATCTGCGCCACCGTCGCTTGAAAGCAAACTATTGGACCAGTTAATGCTGGATCTACCTGTTCTGATAATTTTTTATTTATTATATTGATGCGGAAATGCGTAAAATTCAAAATTTCAAAAAAGGACTTTTCGCTCTGCTACGAAATGGACATGTTGTTTCTCTGCTTAAGAAGAGGATTAACAGCTTTTTTAAAGGAGAAAACTACTAGTCGCTGTTTCCATTGAAAATTTTATATCAGATTTGGCTAGGCAGTTTTCGAAAAAGTGAAAAAGATACCAAAAACGATCAAAAAATCAAAAATTTGCATTTTCCTAAATCCATTAAGCAAAAGCATGGTACCAGCCCTTTATGCAGTAAAAAATTCTCATACCTGATTTTTCAACTTCGATTGGACGCTTAATCTACGATAATCAAAAAACGAGGATAATTTATGAAAAATTTTAAGAATTAACCAAAATGTCAAAAAAATGGGCTTGTTTCAGGCCATAACTTTTTTCTACCGTAATTATTGAATATCCATCTGAGAAGGGGAGATCCCTATAATTTGTTCTTTTCATTAAAATCTTCATATGATTTTTCCCTTTAATATTTGAGAAAATGAAAAAATGAAGGCCGTCGAACGTGAGGTAAAATGAAAAGACACTAGCGAAATATACAGGCACACAGAAGAGCAGCCAAAAAACGAAAAGCAACAAATCACATGCATTTTCATAACACACGCTTTTTTTCAAACAGGACGTAACACTAGCGAAAATAAAGCGGTAACATATGCCATTAAATTATTTATGATTAAATAACTTAAATATGATTAAATTGAAATACACCAAAAGTGCCACCAAATGAGCACTTTCATTTGCGACTTAAAATACACTACGCTTCGATTGTGTAATGAATTGAAAACAAATCGGAGAAAATCGGGCTTGTTTTTTAAGTTACATATACTGTGATAAGAAAATTGTGTGCTAATTCCTGGGGAGCCTGATTCTCTTTCTGCTTTAGAAGGGTTTAAATATCAAGTAGCCAATCACAATCATCGACAGTTGCAGCTACTTGAATTCCATTTGATGCATTTACGTGTTTACCTTAGCCTTGTGTTTCTCTGCATTCGTCCTTTGCATCTCCGCCTTCTTCCGCCTCATTTCTTCTAACTTTTCCTTTTTCCGCGCCAGCTCATCCTTCACAGGTGTCGACATCATCACAACAGACTCGCTAGACAATACACTACACTGCTATTCAACCAGTTCACAGTTTCTAAACTATTCTGTCTCAAGTCCACCAAAGAGCGGGTATTAAGCAACTGGATTTGGACGCAAATAACTGCTAGATGAAATATTTAACCAATTCAAAACTACCTGAAAAACGAAAATAAAAAACAATTGAAAAACTTTCAGGTACCCAATTGTTGAAATCCTAAACGATAGTATAGATTAATTAGATTCAACGATTTATGCTTCTGATCAGAGGAAGAATGGTACCAGCCCATGCTTATAAATATGTACAATAAATATCTCGAAAATAAAGCCAATGCATAACATAGTTAATCGTAAGATATACCGTTGTCCGTGACGAGAGATTTCACGCGCAGTTGAAAAGATAGATTTTAAAATATATTTCTATGTTAGAGTCAGTTTTAGTCGTGCTACCGAGTACAACTACGGATTTCAATGCAATGAAATTGTTTCCTTGCCATTCGAGCTAGCAGTTAAATTCTCAATTAACTTTCAAATTTCATCTCAAAACCCATTTGATTACATAACTGGACACCGATAACAGAATCATGTGTAGGCATCGCTGGCTAACAGGAAACAATTTCTACAGAATTCAATCATGAAGAACAGTCTTCTGCGACAACTGTTCTGTCTTTATCTCATCTGTAGAGATAGTCCGCCTGGATGTTAGCCGCAATCTCCTGCTCCCATCTGTCGCCATTATTCAACAACTTCTCCTTGTTGTACAGCAACTCTTCCCTGGTCTCTGTGCTGAACTCGAAGTTGGGTCCCTCGACTATGGCGTCCACTGGACATGCCTCTTGACACAGTCCACAGTAGATGCACTTGGTCATGTCTATGTCGTATCGGGTGGTCCTCCGACTTCCGTCCTCTCGCTCTTCCGCCTCGATTGTGATCGCCTTAAGAACACACTTCGCTTAACTCCAGTGGCGTACTTAAGTGTGTATGCGCGCCCGGGCATGTGTGCGTGTTTCGTGTGTGTTTGAGGGGGAGAGGCATTTAACTCTACCAACAAAAACTTGGAAATCAAATTTGATCGACGGAATCTTATATGAAATAAATTTTCGGCACTTACTACGGGTGGCAGCGATTTTGACACAGAAGCAAAGCTGAGCTTCGCACCCCTTGCGGTACAACAATTATAAGAAAAAGGCACCGTGAGGCTTTTTTTAAACTACTTAATTTATTTTTGTAATTAAAATTTTTCTTTTTGTGTTTCTAGAACGGTTAGCTATGGGCATTCAAAAACTGCTGCCAGAGTCTTATCGATGTCAAAAGTACTACCAGACATTTTAAGAAAAAAAGACAAATAAGCCGACAATATTAAAGCCGACAGCCAATAAGCTGAAAATCAACCAAAAAATGTTGTTCAAAAAATCATAGTAGAAAAATTTGCATGTAACGCCCACAAGGATCCACGATAGCTATATAGTATATAGCTGTATCCAGTTTGCCTAAGCAAACTGGATACAGAATTTGGAAACTGAGCTTAGGCCAGCGATCATGAAGCCGAAAATCATCGGCAGGAAATAATATCGAATATAATTATACAAAAAATGGTTTGAGTTCTAGATATAAAATATACCAATAGTAACTGGTACCTAGTAGTAAAACTTGAATTTTTATGAAATTGAGCATATCAGCAGCATAGTAGCATCATAAAAGATTCAACTGACTTTATTAAACTAGTTGTTAACCCGAAGAAAAGTCTATATTCCGATTTGATAAATCTTCTTAAGCGTAGACTAGCGTTTAACGCACCTCCGGTGCTTCGAAATTTCTCGACAACTCATGAAAAACCGCATATATTGGAAACAATATCTGCAAATTTTTTGTGTACTCTGACTGCACCCAATTACAGGGTTGGTTATTTCGAACTTTTTAATTCCCATTTTGAAAGCGTCATCTCGAAAACTTAATGGGCCTCTGGAGAAAATTGGAGGCCAGATTTGCAACCACTGAGAGTCCCTGAGAGCACCCTACTATAGGGTTAAGAATTCAAAATTTTGTGAATTTTTTTTAAACTTAATTTCAGTTTGCCGAATAAAAAAATTGAAAAAAACGTCTTATCTCGGACACTAAAAGGATTTGAGCATTCATTTTAAAAGGCACGATTTAAGACACCAGGGTGTACACTGACAATAAGGTTGTAATTTCATCGAGTTGGTAGTTACAAATTTTTTGAAATTCTTTGTAGATAAGTTCTTTGAGAAATTTTGAAAAATCAAAAAATGTCACATCTCGGAAAATAAAAGCAATTGAGCAGGCGCGTTTAGCAGTCGCATGTGGCAAGATTTGCAACTCTTTAGAGTACCCTGACAACACCGAACTATAGCGTTGGGAATTTCAAACTTTGAAAAATAATTAATTTAAACTTTCTTAAAATTTTGAAAAAATCACAAAAAACGTCACATCTCGAAAACTACAAAGAATTGAGCAGTCATATTTGGAGGCAAGATTCGCAATCCTTGAGAGTACTCTGACAGGACCTAACTTCAGGGTTGGGAATTTCAGATTTTAAAAAATAATAATAATAATTTAAGTTTTCTGAAAACTTTTGAAAAAATCACAAAAAACGTCATATCTCGAAAACTACAAAGAATTGAGCAGTCATACTTGGAGGCAAGATTCGTAATCTTTGAGAGTACTCTGACCAGACCTAACTACAGGGTTGGGAATTTCAGATTTTTAAAAAATAATAATTAAAGTTTTCTGAACATTTTAGAAAAAATCAGAAAAAAAAAGTCATATCTCGAAAACTACAAAGAATTGAGCAGTCAAATTTGGAGGCAAGATTCGCAATCTTTGAGAGTACTCTGACAAGACCCAACTACAGGGTTGGGAATTTCAGATTTTGCGGGAAAAAAAGTAATATAAGTTTAAAAAATCACAAAAAATAATTCAAATCTCGAAAACTACAAGGATTTTAACAGTCATATTTGGAGGCAAGATTTGGAATTCCTTAGAGTACTCTGACAGCACCCAACAACAAGGTTGCGAATTTCAAATTTTGAAAAACAATTAATAAAATTTTTTAAAACATCACAAAAAACGTCATATCTCGAAAACTACAAAGAATTGAGAGTACTCTGACAAGACCTAACTACAGGGTTGGGAATTTCAGATTTTTTAAAAAATAATAATTAAAGTTTTCTGAACATTTTAGAAAAAATCACAAAAAACGTCATATCTCGAAAACTACAAAGAATTGAGCAGTCAAATTTGGAGGCAAGATTCGCAATCTTTGAGAGTACTCTGACAAGACCCAACTACAGGGTTGGGAATTTCAGATTTTGCGGGAAAAAAAGTAATATAAGTTTAAAAAATCACAAAAAATAATTCAAATCTCGAAAACTACAAGGATTTTAATAGTCATATTTGGAGGCAAGATTTGGAATTCCTTAGAGTACTCTGACAGCACCCAACAACAAGGTTGCGAATTTCAAATTTTGAAAAACAATTAATAAAATTTTTTAAAACATCACAAAAAACGTCATATCTCGAAAACTACAAAGAATTGAGAGTACTCTGACAAGACCTAACTACAGGGTTGGGAATTTCAGATTTTTTAAAAAATAATAATTAAAGTTTTCTGAACATTTTAGAAAAAATCACAAAAAAACGTCATATCTCAAAAACTACAAAGAATTGAGCAGTCAAATTAGGAGGCAAGATTCGCAATCCTTGATAGTACTCTGACGGTACCCAATTACAGTGTTCGGAATTTCAGATTTTTAAAAAATATTTATAATTTATGTTTTCTGGAATTTTTTGAAAAATCATAAAAAACGTCCTATTTCGAAAACTACAAGTACTTGAGCAGTCCTATTTGGAGGCAAGACTCGCAATCCTTGATAGCACTCTGACAGTACCCAACTACAGGGTTGGTAACTTCAAGTTTTGTAAATTGTTTTGTTATTTAAAAGTTCTGAAAATTTTTGAAAAAATCTCAAAAATCGTCTTATCTCGTTTACTAAAATGATTCGGGCATTTAAAATTGGAGGCCAAACTCACAACCCTTAATTCGATATTGGGTTTCTTAATTTGAACTCGGTAAAATAACCACTAAAATCAAATTGGAAAATCGAAAAAAAATCTTAACCATTGCAATATACGATATAGCTTAATAATGCAAATAATACGTTGGAAAAGCTTAAACATGATGAGATGGTGAAGCACGCATTTAAATATATAACAGATATGTCGAAAAAGACTCGCCCTCTTCCAAAAAATTTCAGAATGCATCCTGATAGGCAAGAAAATTATTTCCAGTTTTTGATTTTAATAACCAGCTTGCAATTCGTTGCATTGAATTCATATTCATTCAATTGGTTGCCCTTATCAAGCGCTTTTAACGCCAAATTAAACACCATTTGCGATACAAAATCAGAAAGGACAAAAATCAGAAGATAATACCTCAAACGAATCGTGAAAACCTTGAATTAATGCTTGAAGCAAAAAGAACAAGGAAAAACCTTTTTGCAAATGTCAATTCTTTCTCATAACCAATCGATAGTAACGATGAGAAAAAATTTCGGTAGAAGAAATCTAGATCCAAAAATTCCTAAATTTACTTTAAAACGATGCCTCATATCTTGCAATCAGACAACTTGCATATCCTACAGGAAGAATAGTGAATTAGATAAGGCCCTCTCCGCTATTTGCGTTAAAGTAAGATAAAAAAAAAACTAATAAAAAAATTCAATATGTAAAAAATTTACACGATTGCCGCAAAAAACTTCTTAATCAAATTTTTGTAGTTTCATCCAGAAATAAAAAAAATCCTGAAACTCATGCGACACTCGCCGAATGCTTTCAAAGACAAAATAGTCCAACCAAAATTTCAACAAAAAATATTCTGGAAAATTAAGAATTTTTTCGAAAACAATTCAACATATGAGAAGAAAAAAAGAAAACGCTACTCCATCAACTTAAATCAAATTCAAGTGAAACTGCTCTAAAACACACAAAATCAATTAAAACTAACTAATTCCACTTGCAGAATAAAAAATAAATCAGAACAGAATAAAATTCTAGCAGAAAGTCCCAAAAAACTCTATTCTAACATTAAGTTTGGGCGTGTATAAAAACCAGGAAACCATGAGCTATGATTAAACACTTGACAAGGAAAAAGTCATTAAAAAATTACCGAAGGTTACAGAATTGAAAACCCGGCAATAAGGCCGACAGAAATTGGGTCGAAATCACTAAAGCCGACGAAAAAATCAATTTACCTAAAACTTTTTCGGCTGTAGACTTGGTATTCTTTCAGTAGCTGAAATGGAGTTTTTAAAATTGGAAATCTTGTGAACATATTTTTTATGGGAAAAAATTCTAGTACCCGGTTGCAATACCCTTGCTCGTCGCATAGGTAATAAGCTAAGGCGCGCTTGGGGCCCCTACAAGAATGATTTAGCAATTCCGTACCAAGGTTATCCTATATTTTTAATATCGAACGTCGTTATGTGCAATTTGAAGCCAAATCTTTTCCCGACCCTAATCATATTAAGCGATAAGTAAGATTCAACAATCGAGCAGCAGGCTGATGACCTTTTTATTAGATACTAGCAAGCCCGTCTCCAAAAATCAATCGGCTCGCAAAAAATTAGTCGTTAATCTGATCAAGCTATTCAAAGTAAACCATTAGCGAGGTCTTCCAGCTAAAAAAATGATGTTTCAACTTAACTCATGAAGCGATTCGGATGTCAAAAAGTATAAGTTTTTCTGTTGAAGCCATTCAAGCGAAGACCCTTTGAAAGATTTGATTGAGCTAATTAAGTTAATTGTTAGAGCAAATCTGTCTGCGAAAAATCAAACATTTCTTGAGACATCTATTCAAGCTATGAAACTTCGAAATATTTCTTCTAGAGCAAATTATTTCGCGAAAAAATTGAGTTTCTCTAAGCAAGCTATTGAAGCTATCAAAGCTTAAAATATTTCAAGTTATATCATGAAGCAAGTCGAATGGCGATATTTTTAAGTTTTGTTATTGAAAAAAGTCAAGCAATGAAACCTTGAAATAGTGCAAGTTGATTCATAGACCGAATCAGAGGACAAAAAATCAAGTTTTTTCAGCAAGTTATTCAAGCTAAAAAAAACTTTGAAATCGAACTTGTTGCCAGCTATTGAGCAAAGTTCTAAAAAATTCAATTTAATTCTTAGAGCGAATCAGTCCGCGCAAACTCGGTATATCTCAAGCAAGCAATCCAACAAAAGAAACCTTGAAATTTTTTAGTTGTTTCATACAGCTAATCATTTGGAGATATGTCAAAAATTTCTCAGTAAGTTATTTATATTATGAAACTTTCACATATTTCAAGTCATTTCATGAAGGAAACCGCACAGCACATGAAGGAAACCGCAAGGAAATTATAAGTTTTTCCATTGCAGCCATTCAATCGGTGAAATTTTGAAAAATGTCAAATTATTCCATCGACAAAATCAGATTTCCAGAGTTTCAAGTTTTTTGGGCAAGCAATTCAAGCTTCGAAATTTTTGAAGTACGTAGTGTTTTCAAACTAAATCGGTTCACTAAAACTTAAACTTTTCTAAGGAAGTTGTTCAGGCTATAAAGCTCTGATACGAAGCGAATAAGAAAGCGAAAAGCAAGTTATTGAAGCTAAGGAAACTTGAATTATTTCAAATTGTTGTTTAGACCGAAACCTATTGTTTAGTCGAAAAGATTGAAGTTGAAGACAGAATCGTTTCGCACAAAAAATACGCTATCAAACTATAAAATAGTTCTAGTTGTCTCAGACGAATCGGTCCCTGAAAAAATGAAAAAAAAAATTCTCAAGGCAAGCTATTCAAGCCTTAAATCTATGAAATATTTCAAGTTTTTTCGTAGACTGACTCGTTTTGCGAAAAATGAGTTTTTCTAAGCAAGCTATGCAGGCTACGAAACTTCGAAAAAATTAAGTTTTTCGTAGACTGATTCGGTTCGCGAAAAAACTAGGTTTATCTCAGCAAGCTATTCAAGCTATGAAACTATGAAATTTTTCAAATTGTCTCATAGACGAATCGGTTCGCAACTAGTTAGTTTTTTTAAACAAACTATTCAAGTCTCGCAACTTTGAAATATTTCAAGTCTTCTCTGGACTGACTCGGTTCGCGTAAAGTTTAAGTTTTTCAGGAACTAGTCAAGCTACGAAAATTTTCAAGATGTCTCATAGACGAGTCGGTTCGCGAAAAGTTTAGGTTTTTTAAGCAAGCTAATCAAGCCTTGAAACTTTGAAACATTTCAAGTTTTTCGTGGATTGATTCGGTACGCAAAAAGTTTAACAAGTTTTGTTTAGGCAAAATATTAAGCTAAAATTTGAAATATTTCAAGTCATTTTACAAAGCGAATCGGTTCATGAAAAGTTTTACTTAAGCAAACTATTCAAGCTACAAAACCTTCAAATATTTGAAAGGGAATCGGTTCAAGAAAAGTTTAAGTTTTTTAGGCAAGCTATTGAGCCTATGAAACATTTCGAGTTGATGCGCAGACCGAATCGGTTCGCGAAAGTTTTTCCCAGCAACCTATTGAAGCTACGAAACTTCGAAATAATGAGGATTATTTCATACACTGAATCAGTTCGCAAAAAAACGTGTTCTACGCAAGCTATTGTAGCTATGAAACTTTGAAATATTCCAAGTTATTTCATAGCTCGAATCGATTTGCTGAAATACATCTGTCACCGCATACTTTCAGACAAAAAGTGGGCAGGTACTGTCCAGCCTTGAAGTTGAATCGAGTTCATCTTGCTCTGATTGATTCTTAAACGTTGCGCTCGATACCCCCTTATTCATTGGGCGTTATGTCAGCTAAAACTTGGCATTAACTTTTCTGTCATTCGTTTAATATATAGGATAGGATAGGATAGGATAAGATGATTCCTTTATCAGTAGAATAAACTCTTCCTACCAAATGGGTCCAATTTTAAGCACTTGTGATCCACTTCAGATTTGTTCGGCGATTGCTGAATTTAACCGATAATGAAACTAACTTGGGCAGGACAGATGGCTTCGCACAGTTTACACGCAATGCACCTCTCCTCTCCATTGGGGTACCTCCTCAACGCATGTTCCCCTCTGAATCTGGGACTTAGGGGTCCTTTCTCAAACGGGTAGTTGATGGTGGCAGGCTCGTGCAGTATTTTACTGATTGTCATTCCCATTCCCTTCAAACATTGAAAAAATAAGACTTCAGGCCAGCCATACACGAGCAGCAGCTCTCGTCATTGGAATTTTTAGCATTTCAAAAATCATTTGAGATATAAGTTAAGAAATCACTTCAGCTTTGTCCTGTCTTAAACAAAAACTATAAGTTTAACCAAAATATACCGTTATTTTTCTATGTAATTGATCGACTACAAATAAAAACCAAAATGGAAAACAGACTAAAACGTTTTTGATGCCTTCTTTTGACATGACGACAATTGGTCGCTAGCGACGACTCGCCTCAGGACAACTTAATCAGGATGCTTTGCCTCGAAATTCCGTGAAACATTCCATATCAAAACCTTCATTTGGTCAGACAAGTCCGTTTGGTCGCTATGCATAGCTAAATCATTTTGTTTCGAAATTCTTATGTAATTATAAATTGCAAATAATATAATTGCTCTTACAAAGGCTAGCAAATTATCGCTGGCGACGAATTGAAGCTAACGACGAGTTGTCGCTGGCGACAAATTGTCGCCTCGCACTTAATTTTAGCCTAAATAATAATTTTTAAAAATCAGAACAAAACCGCCTTCAAAATTTCAGTAGTGTGAGCTCTTGGGATCCAAAAGCAGGACATACGTTCAGATTCTGCTTTTAAATAATGCTTACTTTCATGAGTTCCCCGAACAGAAGCGAATTCGCACTCAAGTCTGTCGTTTCAAGCCATGACGATGCAGATGTGGTCGCATTCACTAACTTGTACGTGTTCTGACCAACGCTTTTGCCCAGTTGTGATTCAATCGGGTACTCTTCGCCTTCAGATCCTTTGCTGACCCCTGTTGATGTCGTGCTTTTTGTGCGGCATGCAATTTGACTGTTACTCTGTGCTAATTTACATGATGTTGCTGAACTTGGCAGAACTGAAGAAAGCCAGGTGCTATTTTTCACGAGGTTCTTAATCATTACGACCTCAAAAATTCAAGAGAATAAATTTCATACTCGACACATGTGATGGAACGTATACTTTACCAGGCAAGTACTGGCCAAAATGACCGTCATCCTAATTGGACTGATTCATTAATAAGCAATGAGAAAAAACTGAATACTTAAAAGTAGAGCTGCTATAAGGTAAATTAACGAAACTAAAGTAAGCTTTATAAAAAAAACGACACATTCAGACTTTCAGTACTAAAACATCACTCAATACTGAGGTACTAAAATTATACAAATATAATGCTAAAGCATGAGATGTAAGCAATTACGGAGACAACTATGTGAAAGATTAGCTAGCGTATACGAAGAATTAGGAATCAGAAAAAAAAAACGTTTTCCCGCTTTCAGCGCTGGTTATTTTACTATCTGGTTTCTATACAGATTTCCTGGGTGCTATTATTCAGTATTTTATCATGCAGGAAGTGTCTTTCCAACTGAGGAAAGTCTCCTACGAGAGATTTTACCCAGATTGCGTTGCTAGCAGGACTGTATTCCTCGAGGCTGGGAGGACTAGAGTAAAAAAGTTTCGGCAGAGGCGTTACAGAAATCGAACTGGCCACTCCCACGGATATCTATAAACTGATTTTACCAACCAAGACATTTGTTAGTTTTTACAGTGGCAAGATTGATTTTTTAAAATTATCAGTAAAGTTGTTACAAAGGCTTATATATCTACAAAATAAAGAGTTTACAGTCACAAGTGCAAGTAAGAGATATTTATTCGGGAAATTAAATTCGCAAAAGTAGAATTCGGTTCTCAATCGTCTAGAATAGCACGTACAGCTGTATTGAGATAGTGATATGTTGTCAGAACAGCAGACGAAATTTGAACCGTGAAAACAAAGTTCATACAAAACCGTGAAAACAAATTCAGAAAATCTGACCTTTTTTCAGAAAAAAATTTCGGCCAATTTGATAATTGTAAATGATGATAAAAGATTTCCAAAAAAATCACATGTAAACATAAACATCATTTTAGATAACTACTAGATTTTCGAACGAAAAAAAATTGAGAGGAAAAAAGTTGAGAGGAGAAGCTTCTTACAGAAACTACAATGCGCCCAATGGAAGCCATCTAGGAATAAGCAGGAAAACTCGAAACACAGGATAGTTGAGAGTTACCGCAAATATCGTTCACATTGTGACAAAAGTTTACTACCCGAGAATTTTATTCAGATTCCTTTGAGGAATGTATTCCTCAGAAGGCTCAGAGGACTAGAGAAAAGCAATATAGGCAGAGGCGTTATTGGAAACGTGCTGGTCACTGTCGCGGATATCTCTCGAGTGATTTTACTAAGTTTAACTAAGAGTATTGTTGGTGTTTACTGTGGCCATATTGATTTACGCAAATTATCAGTAAAGTTGATTACGAAGACTTGTATCTAGAAAATTAAGAATTCAGTTTGAGTTTATCAAATTTTTTCCCTTGAAAAGTATTTGTTCGTCCTCTCTTTTTCTTTCTTTTGTTGAGAAGAGAAGCTGAAGACGAGGATGATGACAGTAGCTGGACTGACTCCGAGGCAGTCTCCGAGTTGGAAGAAGAAAGAGACGATGACTTCTCGGAGGTGGAGAGAGGGGACACCAGAGTGAAGACGCAGTCAGAGAGACAGCGATAGAGGAGAATGCTTCCTCTACGGATCACCAGTCACAAGTGCAAGTAAGAGATATTTATTCGGGAAACTAAATTCGCAAAAGTAGAATTCGGTTGTCAATCGTCTAGAATAGCACGTACAGCTGTATTGAGATAGTGATATGTTGTCGGAACAGCAGACGAAATTTGAACCGTGAAAACAAAGTTCATACAAAACCGTGAAAACAAAATCAGAAAACCTGACCTTTTTTTAAAAAAATTTCGGCCAATTTGATAATTGTAAATGATGATAAAAGATTTCCAAAAAAATCACATGTAAACATAAACATCATTTTAGATAACTACTAGATTTTCGAACGAAAAAAAATTGAGAGGAAAAAAGTTGAGAGGAGAAGCTTCTTACAGAAACTACAATGCGCCCAATGGAAGCCATCTAGGAATAAGCAGGAAAACTCGAAACACAGGATAGTTGAAGGTTACCGCAAATATCGTTCACATTGTGACAAAAGTTTACTACCCGAGAATTTTATTCAGATTCCTTTAGATGAATGTATTCCTCAGAAGGCTCAGAGGACTAGAGAAAAGAAATATAGGCAGAGGAGTTATTGGAAACGTGCTGGTCACTCTCGCGGATATCTCTCGAGTGATTTTACTAAGTTTAACTAAGAGTAATGTTGGTGCTTACTGTGGCCATATTGATTTGCTCAAATTATCAGTAAAGATGATTACGAAGACATATGTATCTAGAAAATTAAGAATTCAGTTTGAGTTTCTCAAATTTTTTTTCTCTTGAAACGTATTTGATCGTCCTCCCTTACTCTTTCTCTTGTTGTCTCACAATAATTTAGAGTCATACCAAATGAGCCACGAAAGTGTTATTGTCGTCAAAAATAATTCAACCATAAAGGGAATTTAGGGATGTGACACATTACCAATCTTGAAGTTGCCCTGGGTTAGAAAGTTGTATGCACTCTGCCATTTTTTGTCGAAAAAATGGGGTTTCATTTAAATCCTCTAGTTGAACAACCAACGCGTTGGTCATGTTATATATATTAACAAATATGCGCCCCACGAAAAAAAAATTATTTTCTTTCGAGCCTATTAAAAGTTTATTGAAAAACCAGGCTTTTCATTAAGATTTAAGGCTACCTATTGCGGTTGCTTTATTAAATGATTTTGCTGTTAATTTTATTTTAACTGAAGTAAGTTTTCAAGTGTGGACTCAAGCCCTAGAAATGACTTAGCAAAGCCGTGATTTATAAAACTCGTCTGCTTAACAAACTCAACGGTGTGAAGCCCAGGGCGTCAATTCCACTTTGACTCTTTCTGCGTGTTTCAAAAGAAGGCTCTCTGGAGTCAACATTTAACTATTGTGTCAGTGAAGGTGTCACAAGCAATATAGGGTCTGTTTTGTCCTTTTTACATTTGTAGTAGAATTATATGAACATTGCGTTGTGTATCATTGATCTGATGAGGGAAACAACACTTATGATTAGCGAGTGTGTCAACTTTAGCCGGTCATCGAAGGCTCGTGCCAAGGAGGGACAGAGTTTTTTCAATTTTTGGGCTAGTGATTGGTCAAAGGTCCTCAACTGGTCATTATTTTGTATGGAAGGCGAGTCAAGAAGCTGCTCTCGTATTTCCTTAAATAGTTGTATCTAAGCATACGTGTTTGTGTCGAAGTAAGGCATTTCTTCTACTTCTGACAATTTGTCAGCAAATTTAAAATCGGTTCAGGTGGTTTGTCGTTGATTTTGATTGCTGGAACTGTTTTGCGATGTGATATGAATTGAACTTAAAAAAACTCAATGAACTTTTGACAAAGATATTGGACGATTGAAGTTTTACTGAACATGACACCAAATATTAATATCAAAAGTTGGTCGAGAGTTCAAGGAGTTTATTGAGTTCAAATTATATCCCGGATCACAGATATGTGATATAATTTGAGCTCATTTAACTCGAACTTTCGACAAGCACTTATGCTATTTATTATTAGAAATCAAAGGTGGTATAAAAAGGAGCTCAAAAATAAGTACCGACCACTTCGAGCCGCACATTGTCCGAAGCCCTCACTTGCTTTGGTCACATCCTAAGCCTGATTAAACTAAATTATACAGAGTAATTAGTCTAACATATAACAAATTTCCCATGTATAAAAGTTTGATCTGATTTTTATGTGCGGTCTCACAAGTTGTCTCCCGAAACTCAAAGTTATCATGCAAATAATTCATCCAGAAAATTTCACAGTGCCGCTCGAGGTTGTAGATGTAGAGCCAGAAGAGTTTTAAGTAAATTTTAAGAATCTAGCACTCCATGCATTTCCTGGCCCGAAGCCTTTGGCAGATACATAGGCAGCGACTATAGACGCAGCTGAAGGTGCGCGAGAAACTGCTGAGCATCAAGCCAACAGGGATGGAAAAGATTCGCGGAACGGAAAAGAACAGGCTATGTAATGAGACTTTTTGAAAAGGGAATACCAAATTTCAATTAGTTAAATTACTTGAAAAAGAAGATACAACCACTAGCGTACAATATTTGTGCAGTACAGCTAAAAAGCATTTGATTCTAAGAGAATTTTGGCCCAGTTGATGATTTCACAGATATTAACTCAATTGAACTAGAAAGTAATCCGCAGACTGATCATCGGTCTAATCGTAGTAATGACTAAAAGAAAACAGAAGACTTAAGAAGAATTACATTCCAAAGTAGATGAGCTAACTAAGCAAGTCCACGAGAAAAGTAAGACTTTTAGAATTTTGAGTCAAAACAAATGAAACGACAGCTGGAAACAAAACCAGCAATCGACTTCAAACTGAAACTATAGAGGTAAAAAAAAGGAGAAAAAAATATTAAAGACAGGTATTAATTGAGTTGGTTAGGAAAATCAAGAAAACAATCAAAATTGGGTAAATAACCGGAAATCAGGCAACAACCATAACAAAAGTAATTAACGCAATCGGAACCATAGAACTTGGAATCAGAACCAAATCAGCAGGATCTCAACACCAGCAACAAAATACTCAAAGGGTGGAAACCCTACAAACAGAACACGATGAGATGACACAGCATGCAGAAGCCCAATGCAAAGCTTGTGTTCTTACCAACCACATCCCTAAGTTTTCCTTATAAAACCCTTAAACCCAGAGAAAGAAAAAAGAATCTTTTTAAAACCAACTAAAAAAACGTAATGCAAACAAAATGTCTCATTTATGTATTTTTTTTTAATATTTCCAAAAAACTTCGCAAAAAATTATAGACACGGCTGCAAGTGCTAGTGCACTCCTAGAAATCGTTCAATCCTCAACGCAAGCCGAGAAAACGTTTCTACTCTAGAACCAATACCATCGTCTTTTGTAAAATTTGTATATTAATGTTATACAATGTTATGCAAGTCTTAGCATTTAATTTCGCTTCAAGAACTTTTGCATATAAGTCAATACCACAGCAAAATTTAGCTGCAATACTAACATATTGCCGGATTCAAAATACAGCAGCCCAAATTGCAAAAAAAAACAATTCAAAACCGCATTTTCCCGATCTAAGACAAATCGATCAAATCGAGAACTGATTACAACAATACCAACTTCCTAATAACGAAAATGACAGAGGCAGTACATCTTTTTGCAGTGAAACGATTATTCACGAAACTTGACTGTTAAAAAACATATCACTGTGTACAATTGGCAGACACTATTGGTACAATAGCAGTTTTAGCAGTTGATTTTGCTTGGAAATTTTTGCATAATTATCTCTAGCTCAAGGCTTGAGTAATTCGAATACAGGCTTTAGCCCACTCATCAGGTCAAACTTAGAACCCTATGTAACATCCGATCTCGGTACACAACTCGTGGACGATATAGGCGATGAAATAATCTTCGACTTATCTCCTGATTTTGAAAATTTCGTCTATGTTTCTTTTGGTTCCAGAGACTTTTACATCAGAGAGTAGGGTTACTCTCAGACGTAAAATTGTCCTGAACGCAAAGAAACATACCAAAAATAGACGAAACTTTCAAAATCAGGAGATTAGTCCCAGATAACTTATTACAGGATAGTGATCCATGAGAACCTTTCAACCTATAAAAACGAAAAATTTCCTATAGACCCAGAACAAGAACAGAAAAAAGATGCAAACATTTGAAAGGTTCTTGAAAGGATTTCGAATGATGTGCCCTATGCAGCTACAATCTTAGAAAGTACCACAAAAACTTTCAAGATTAAAACTCAGTAATGGCATGGCATACTTCATGGCATGTTTTGACCAAAAACCGTATTTGTACCAAAACAATTTGAGATGAGAAGCTTCTTACAGAAACTACAATGCGCCCAATGGAAGCCATCTAGGAATAAGCAGGAAAACTTGAGAATTTCGAAAAGGTTTTAAATTTTCCCGGCTTTACAGACTTTGTATATTGATATGAGAAACTCTCAAACATGCTTAACTGTCAAGAGTCTCGTATGAATCAAAATTACTTGATTCAGGTCAACTCAGTTAGCTAGGTTATTAAATTTCTCAATTGGTTAAGCTTTTGTTATCCGTGAGAAATAAAACTGTTTTTTTTACATCCCCAAACAAACAGCAAAGAATTTTTGGCTCTTTATTTTGCTCTCTGTTTTTCACAACTAGAAACTTTGAGATTTCATTCAACACTACTCACAGTAGTAAAAAATGTCTTAACGCATAGGAAGAAGGAACAAACCGAAAAATAGATGAATTTTTCAAAATCAGGAGATTAGTCCAGGACAACTCAGAACAGATAGTGATCCATAAAAGCCTATCAACCTATAAATTGGGTTACTTCTCATAGACCTGGAACAAACGCAGAAAAATGATGCACACAGTTGAGAAAACGTTTGGAAATTCGGAACTGTTGTTGCGGAGTTATAACACGAGTTCTCGGACATTAAGTTAAGACACGCTTTGCTCAAACATCCACAGACAGAAGGAAAAAAACGAAAGACAAAACCTCTCAAAGAATCGTGAAGAACGATACGAATGAATCATGATCAAACCGGCATCGATGCTCAAACCTTGCTCCATTTATTCACAACACTTCCTATTATACTTCATTAGGTATCACACCTAGCACAACGGAAGATACAACCTCAAGCAAACTGATCTAAGACTCACACTAAGTCGAAAACAACCGAATGACTCAAAATCGGACTATGCAAGTGACATTCAAAAGTCACTAATGACATCTTATGAAAAACGAAACACAGGATAGTTGAGGGTTACCGCAAATATCGTTCAAATTGTGACAAAAGTCTACTACCCGAGAATTTTATTCAGATTCCTTTAGAGGAATGTATTCCTCAGAAGGCTCAGAGGACTAGAGAAAAGAAAAATAGGCAGAGGCGTTATTGGAAACGTGCTGTTCACTCTCGCGGATATCTCTCGAGTGATTTTACTAAGTTTTACTAAGAGTATTGTTGGTGTTTACTGTGGCCATATTGATTTACTAAAATTATCAGTAAAGTTGATTACGAAGACTTATGTATCTAGAAAATTAAGAATTCAGTTTGAGTTTATCAATTTTTTCCCCTTGAAACGTATTTGTTCGTCCTCTCTTTTACTTTCTTTTGTTGTCTCATAGTAATTTCGAGTCATACTAAATGAGCCATGTAAGTGTTGTCGTCGTCAATAATGATTCATAACCATAGATGCAATTTAGGGCTGTGACACCAACTGGTTTCAGAAATAGAACCAATCTATTAAACAATTTGTCTAACATTTTCGAAGAAACTAATGAAAAGCCTCGAATATTTTCAGAAACTCATACGTAATTTTGCTTGCTTTGTTAAACTCCGAGGAGTAAAAAAACTGAGCTTTTTACGATGAACAAATGGAAAACTTCATATATCATCTTCGTGAAAAACAAAATTAAAATTTTTCCAGTCGCCGTGAAGCGTTGTCTCCGTATTGTTATACATTGTCTACAACTCCATATTAATAACCATTATTATTACAGATTATATTAAATCACCAACCGCATTAAATCTCTTCAGTAAACATTTTGATTATAGATTAACGAACAGCACAAACACGTTATATACTTTATCAGAGCAATTAAATTGGCTTCTTCAATGTCTGTTGGATCTGAAACTCTCGTAGTGTTTCTTGATCAACTTGGTTTGGAAGAGAATACTGTCTGCAAAGTCGTCCGCTGATTCCTCGTGTTCTCGTGTGCTCCTCGTGTTTATCGACTGTCTATTTCTGATGCCACTTTGGGGTGTTCTTGGTCGTAAGTTGTATGATCTCCTGGTCGGAGTTAACTGAAAATAGTTTCAAGTCAACATATCGTACTTTCTGAAAATTTTATCATCAAGTTTGAAATGTTAAATTTCGTTCGAAAATCTAGTAGTTATCTAAAATGATGTTTATGCTTACATGTGATTTTTTTGGAAATCTTTTATCATCATTACAATTATCAAATTAGCCGAAATATTCTTTTGAAAAAATGTCAGATTTTCTGATTTTGTTTTCACGGTTTTGTAAAAACTTTGTATTCACGGTTCAAATTTCGTCTGCTGTTCCGACAACATTTCACTATCTCAATACAGCAGTACGTGCTATTTTAGACGATTGAGAACCGAATTCTACTTTTGCGAATTTAATTTCCTGAATAAATATCTCTTACTTGCACTTGTGAATGGTGTTCCGTAGACTGGTGGCTCTCCTCTAACTCTGTCTCTCTGACTGTGTCTTCATTCTGGTGTCTCCTCTCTCCGTCCTCCGAGAAGTCACCGTCTCTTTCTTCTTCCAACTCGGAGACTGCCTCGGAGTCAGTCCAGCTCCCGTCATCATCCTCGTCTTCAGCTTCGTTGTTGTCGTCGTCTGACTCATTCGAAGCGACATCTGCAAACAAATCGAGAAAATTGAAGTTCATTTGTAGTTAAGCTCTAAACATCGCGCAAACGGGCAGGGAAATTCTTAAACGTCTTCCACCTCATTTGATGCCTTAAAGGCGGCGTCAATTTAAAACAAATCAACATTCGTTAGTTGCGAAATAACTAATGTCGGAACCAAATAGTTTAAGAAGCAATCCACGGCATAAATTAGTAATTAGCATAACTTACCATTGTTATCGAAAATCAGACGTAAGAAAACACTTGATAAATGCCAAAATTGGTTTAAGACTAAGGTTGAGACTAACACTCTTTCTCTGGTCTAACGGCATGAATTATACGTTAATTTGAAAGGCTATGAAAAAACCTGGAAAAGGAGAAGCGCTTATGAATAGGAAAATAATTCATTTCTCTTACACGAAATAAAAATAATACAGCTTAAATAAGGTTGAACACTTAATAATCAATTTGGTCCCTAGAGTTTCTGTGCTCATATAAGGATGAAAAAGATTTGGCAAACAAATTTGATGACAGGAAACAACTGAAAATACGGACGAATGAAAATACGTTGCAAGGCACACATAAGCTCAAGCCTATTAGCTCCGTTCTTTATCAGTTGTGAAGTGGTTACGAAAGGTCGGATGTTCGCGGCCCACCATGATCCGAGCTCGAGGGTGAGGCGACATTACCCAGCCTCAGTGATGTCCATTTAAAAAATTGTAACTGAAATTTAAATTGTTCAAGAAACCTATATAAAAATTGTTGGCATCAATTTAAATTTTTTCGAGATTATTTATTTTTTAACAATCGCAATCCCGTTCCTATAAATAAAAGCAATAAATTAGCTCTAGAGCGTTGTATTTAAAATTCAAATTGTTGCAATCTGATTGGTCGAACTTAATCTTCTTAACAATTGCCCCCCTTTCTTGAAAGGGGACAATAAGTAGATCCGTTTTTTGGAAATTATTAGCTATTTAAATTTTTCTGAAAGCTGTTTTAAGCAGTTTTTGAAGCAATTTTGTTTACTTATCGCAACTTCGAAAAAAATCGAAAGCTGATTTTTCAGACATCTGTTAACAACAAAAATTTATCAATTTTGTCGTGAAAACTCAGATTGTTTCCTTTTTGGAGGAATTTTGAAATTTGAAGTTAATTGAAATAAGTTAACTGTGTACTTTGGCGTTTGATCGAATCCCGCTTGAGCAATTTACATTGCTCCAATTAAATCAATATTTTCATTTAAACTGAGTCGTCTCATAATTTTATTATTAAACACAGAGACGAAGCTGCGCTTCGCAAACACTAGCGAGAACACGTTTAAAAAGCAGCTTTATCAAGTCAAATACGAAAAGACAGAAAAAAGCCTCGAACTAGTAAAACTTTGTTACGTAAGGGCTTCGAACCTGCGAGCTCGATGATTGGAGTCTCACACCCTGCCTTCTCGGCCACGAACGCTAAGCAACCGGCAAACCTTGTCACAAATAAAGCAGCTACATATGCTAACAAATTGCCAATGCCATGCAGCAAAAGTGGCACCAAATACAAATAGACACAATTTTGCAAGTAATGGTTAGGAACAAGGAAAACTGAATGCATCCACGCTAATTTTGCATGTAAAAAATTGGAAAGCATAAAGCCACATTGTGTTTAAATTCGGTTCATTTGATGAATTTAAAACGCATGAACTGTGTTAACTTATTACTATTCGAATGTCAAAGCACATGCTATCAATAAGCCGTAAAGGTGCCCCAAAAGTGGCACCAATATTTGCAACTTATGTTAGAAAAAAAAAGAACAATCGTAGTATAACACAACGCTCACTAAAGTTCGCAAGTGTAATAGATTGAAATTTTAATGAAAATCTAAATTAATTATTTTTTTTAATGAACATCACTTCCCAGCCCAGAAAAAAATTGCATGTAATTCTTAAGCAAGGCCACAACAGCGGTTCTCCACGATGAGGGTACAGCTCGTATGTTGGTCCTTTCCCTTGTGGATAAGTGCCAAAATTAGCCTGTGACATTTCATCAAACTTTCTCGAAAACTACCTTTTCCCATCTCTAAATTCTCGTTGTATGCAAATTTACCATTAACAATGAGAAATAAATTATTTCTTCTTCTAGGAAGGAGCTCAACAGACAGAAAAAGAGAAGATAATTACCTTCTTCTATCTGTGAGTCTGCTAATTGTAACACATCGTCATGCTCATTAACATCCACTCTCAATGCCTCCTCTTCACTCATGAAGTACTGCACATGTAGCCCACTGTTATTTCTATTCATGCTTCCAGGCAGCGTGGTTGAAGCACACATGGAGTCGTCTGACACTAGTTGGGCATTCATAGAGCAGTCCAGGGTCTCACCAGTCTGTAGACTCGGCACGTGTTCCTCATTCGACGATTTCATCACTAAGCACAAAATAATGAAATTCAGAACTTTACACAGAGGCGAAGCGGAGCTTCGCACTGTTTGCAATTAAACAAAAATTAAACGAAATGGAAGTCGAAAAAACCAGATCTACCGAAAATTATATTTTCGTATGTCTTAATAGAAGCTCATTCTAGGCTAACCTGCCAGAAACTTGAGTATTAAATTAGTAACGGAACAAAACTTACGAGGAAACAAAAACGACAATCGTTGAGCAGACACAAGCAGAGCAGAAAACAACATGATTTCATGAAAAATCTTTACAATTCTAAGTTCCACCTGAGACTAGAACGAACAAGACTTCAAGTGAAGTTGCCTACAGCACAGATGTGGCAACTAAGCCGACAATCTTTCAGCAGACACCTGTTGATCAGGAAAAAAAAACGATTTAGAAAAATTAAAAAAATTTCAAGTACACCTCCCTGAACCTACAAAGAACAACACTTGCACTTGCAATGAAAGTTGCTTAGAGGACAAACAATATGTGTGATGTGGCAACGCTGACAAAACTTAAAAGAGCAACGGAAGCCCAGTAATTCTTTTTTGACCGATAAAAAACAAAAAAAAAACAAACAACTGGAAACGAACTGACAGAAACTAGGCCGAAAACAACGACTCTGAAAAAAATTAGACCGGGAACGGACTTCACCTATTTACTACCTAAACTATCGCAAGGGTAATTACATGCAGTAACTGTTGCCTGGAGGCTTATGTTTTCCTTAACTAGATCATTATCATATTTGGCGAAAATTTTTGTACAACGTAGATGAATTTTTAGCGAAAAAAAAGCAGAACATTACAATTTTTTGGTGCGCTATTACCCAAAAATTTCGAAATATATTGGTGCCAATAGTTCAATTAGATAAATTTTAGATCTGCTGACCACAAACGGATGTCGTAAAATAGTCCCCAATGGGTCATGCTTCGGAATCACATACGCCGGCCCTCAAAAAAAATTCCCTCTACCAGTGTCAAAAAATGCTTGCTAATATAGTACATAACAGAATACAAACATGTCCACAAACCACTTTAATATTATCCCACCCAATAATTATCAAAGAATACTAGCTACAAGTTACTGGCAATTAGACAATTTGTCACCTTCTTGTACGTTCATTCAATAAGACATGGGAACTCATCAAACTTTATTTCAAACTAGTTCTCCGATTGCATGAAACTCGACTCAAAAACCCGTTCCGCACCATTGAGTGTCAGCACTCGATAATAGTTCTCACCCGATGTAGCAATATTAGTTGTAGTTAAAGTGAGCAGGTGATGTTTGAGTTCGAGTAGAAGTCTGTTGTTCTCTCTGCTGATGTCTCTGTAGGAGTAGAAATAGGCCACCCACACTATCACCAACACTCCCCACACTGACTTGCGCAACTTCCACTGACTGTCATACACCATTTCCTGCTCACACAAATCACACAGGTTCAAATTGCACGACGAAACATGATCGATCAAGAAGGTTACAAAAAGGCTTCTTATTGTTCCGACCATTGACAATGGAGAGGGACTTTGTTTTCAGATGTGTTTAAGCTTTTTTTTACTTTGCATACAAAAGCAAGTACCACAAACAATCATTGCATTGAATCGAAGGATATATCCTAGCGAGGCCCTATAGTCGAGATTCGAGCGGCAAAAAATAATCAAAAAGTTGTCCCAGTGTCGAGAAAAACAGGTTTGAAATTTATATTGAAGCGAAAAGAGCGATCTAATTGGCTCGTTTTCGAAGTTTTCTTTAGCGCCATCTTAGGAATAAAATACTCAAGTTTCAAAAAAACTGCAAAAAATTGAAATTTATTTTAACTCTTTGGAAATTTTTTGTTTTTCTGGACATGTTTTCAAAAACAATGTCATCTAATATGGCTATTTTACTATTATTTTCGATTATGCTTCGGTTTTATGCTTTCGTTCACATCCTTTCATCAAAACATCCACAAAAAACTTGAAGTTTACAAAAACCTTGGTTTTGAAATTTTCAGAATATAGTCAAAACATTATATGCTACTTGCACAGCAACCGGCCATCCTTGTTTCTTCCTTTAATGCGTTGGAGTAAAAAAGTGCTGAAATGGTCAATAAAAACTATCTGGTTAACTTAAAACTCTTCGGAATTTCTAACTCTGACTATACTATTCACTGACATGTATTTAGCCTAATTGTTGTGATAAACTTATTAAATAGCTTCAGATACTGGAAATGTCAACAGAATCAAACTCAATGGAAAGACAAATCACCAATTTGGAAACCGAATATCCCGAATTGACGCCCATCCTTCTCCAGATGTGGGAACAAATACAATAAAAAGATAGACAAATTGTGAATCTGGAAAATTGCTGTACAGACCTAAGTGATAGAGTGCTGAAATTGGAGAGGTACAACAGCAAGGACTGTCTCATTATCTCGAACTTTCCATCAGATCTTTCGCCATCAATTACAGCACAGGCAGTGAATTTCTTGAATAGCATATTCAAAATCAATATAGGATGTGAAAGTATAAAGGCATGTCACTACCTGGGGAACCCCAACGCAGAGAGAGCCATAGTGATAGTCAAATTCGTCTATTTCGAAATCAAGAACATTATTTGGAGGTCAAAGGCAATGTTGAAAGGAGTGACAAACAAATACAACGGTAAATTTATTTTTATCAATGAGAGACTACCTGAGCCCGATAAAGAGGTGCACATTTATGCAAACAAGGAAAGACAATTGAAGACGGTTACTGACAATTGTGCAGTAAAAATTGAGGTTCGAGGTAATAATGGAAATGGCACTAGGTTCATTGAAGTTCGAAACAAAAAGGACGTTGATAGACTCGCAGCAGATGCAGTACCTAGATTCAACCAGAGACCCCGAAGAGAAGCGAATAGCCCATCGCGAAATTCTTATGGTACACCGGTGCCTAAGTTAGTGAAAAAACCGGATAATTTCTTCGCCACGCCAATATCCACAAGCCTTCCAACACTAAAAAGAGGAAGAGACAAAATTAACTACCGTGAGACAAATGAAAAGGAAACTGAGATAAAACAAGAACTACGTGCACGAAAAGGAAACCGAGAAGATATGCTGGACTACATCATGGGTTTTTTAGGAGACACAACAGAAGCTAAGCAGTCCAATATTAGCTCAATCGAAGAAGAGCCCTTTCGTATCGAGAACGAGGAGACCAATGGAAATAAAACACTCCAAGCCTAACCTAACCATAAGTATCATACATATTAATATACGTTCGATTAAAAAGCATTTAGATGAATTGGAAGCACTTATTCTTAGTCTTGAGTCTCCGCCCGATATTATATGTTTAACTGAAACATGGCTAACAGACAATGATAAAAATGAAAGTTGGTTAATCAGTGGTTATAATCAATGCTGCACAAAAAGTAGGAAAACTCTTGGCGGGGGAGTCATGATACAAATCAGAAATACCTATTGTATTTTGAATCAAATAGAAATGCCCTTTGATGAGGGTATAATTGCTACAATATCGAAAAATTATTTTAAGTTCTCAGTGGGTGTTGTATACAACAAACCCAAGGCTAACAAAATGCTGTTCGTAGAGAAGTTAGATAATTATTTAGATGAAAATAAATCTATGGATCAGCCAATGATCTTGTGTGGTGATGTTAATATAGATATTATCCAAAACAATCTGCTTACTAAGAATTACCTAAACGCGATCAGCTCAAATGGCTATGAGATTAGCAGTATTGAACCAACTCGAGTTACAGAAAATACGCAAACGTGTTTAGACCACTTTATATTTCAAAATATACCACTGCCTGTTTTGAATGTACTTAAATATGAAACGATATCCGACCATTATCCCATATTATTTGAGTGGAAATTAAAAAGGGAAAATTGTTACGACGAAATACCTTACCGGGATACATCTTTTCTTAAAACACCTCTTACGGTGTCAAATTTTTTGCAAAATTTACATATAGTTTTGGATAATAATAAACAGTGTTTGTTTGAAATACAGGATGCCAATGTAGCTTTTGAGTTTTTTCAAGGATTGTTTGTAACAACTCTTGATGCCTTTGCTCCTCTGAAACGTAAGAAAAATATACAAAAAACGCGGCCAGTTTGGTTTACCAATAGGCTAGCTAATTTAAGAAACAAACGTAATATAGCCCACAGAAAATGCAAAATCAACCCCGATAATGCTGATTATCTAGCAAAATTTAAGCTGATAAGATCACAATTTGAAAAAGAAGTTAAGCAATCGAAAAAAGAATTTTACTGGAATAAATTTAAAAATTGTATCAGAGACTCAAGACAAACATATAAACTTTTGAATGATATCAGTGGCAAGAACATCAAATCAAACAAAATCCCACCCCTAAAATCATGCCTTGAAATGAAAGAAAAACCAACAGATGCTGACATTGCGAATAAATTTAATACTTTTTTCACAACTGTAGGGACTATGCTCAAAAATGAAGTTCCTAATGCTGACATACAGGTGGTTGTTAACAATCCCTTTTCTATATTTCTCTATCAAGTAAGCCCTGCAGAAATTGAGAAAATTATTAACAGCTTTGATAATAAGTACTCAGCAGGTGATGATTACGTCAGTAATATAATTGTTAAGACGTCATCCGCGGTTGTGGCGCCCTATCTAGCATTTATCATTAACCTCTCTTTTTTGAAAGGAGTGTTTCCCAATGAACTATGTAAAGCAAAAGTTTTTCCCCTGCATAAGGAAGGTTCGAAAACAGATGAAAAAAATTACCGTCCTATATCTCTTCTCATCGTATGGAGTAAAGTTTATGAACGAGCAATGTACAACCGCGTATACTCCTACTTTGAGAATTTTTCTCTTCTGTTTTCAAAACAATTTGGTTTTCGCAATAAGCATAGTACAATTGATGCTTTAGCAGATTTAACCGAAAAAATGAGGTTGGCAACATTGTCAGATTCAATTTGTAGTTTCTTCTTAGATTTGAAGAAAGCTTTTGATACTATCGACCATGACATACTAATCTACAAGTTAGAACGTTACGGTATCCGTAGTAATTGCTTGAACTGGTTCGTATCATACTTATGAAATCGCATGCAGCGTGTTGAAGTTAATGGCGTTAGTTCTGCTTGGAACACGGTTGACTGCGGTGTTCCACAAGGATCAATCCTAGGACCATTATTATTTATCATATACATGGATGATCTTCCTCTGACTTGTAAGTCTGCAGAAATATTTCTTTTTGCGGACGATACTAACTTAACAGCGATAGGCTGCACTGTAGAAAATATCCAGTCAGACCTTGAATGTCTGAATAAATGGTTAATAGCAAATAAATTAGTAATCAATATATCAAAAACAGTACAAATGACCGTTAAATCAAGTGCTTCCAATTGCTCTTTCAATTTAAATGCCCTTGATATAACCGTTAAACCTGTGTGCAAGTATTTAGGAATTTATATTGATTGTAAATTGTCCTTTGTCAGTCATGTTGATTTTGTTAAAATGAGACTTGGGAAACAATGTGGCATAATATCAAAATAGAGACATTATGTACCCAGGTACCAACTATTAGAATACTACCGAGGTAATGTTGTCCCTATTTTACAGTACGGAATTCTGGTTTATGGATGCTGTAGTTTCAGTGTTTTGAATCCAATTTTCATTTTGCAAAAAAATTTTTTAAAATTTATATATTTCAGGAAGCGGCAAGATCACTGTGAAGATATATTTGAAAAGATTAAATTACTGACAGTTTATGAATACCACGTATACGAGCTTCTGAAATTTGTTCTTAAATCTGTAAACCAATTGCACAGCGAAAATTTTCTAAACGAAATGTTCACTTTTCAAAATTCGGAGAAATTGACAAGGCGATCTAGTGCCAAGTTACTATTGGAACCTCTTTCTCTCGATACGATATAGAGCATGCAAATTGTATAATAAACTGAATAGCTTGGGCTTGCTCCCAGTGGATATTGAAAATAGTTCTTTTATGGAAATATCGCGTTATTACCACAATTTCCAAACTTATCTGATTCAAAATATCGAATTGGTGAAATATATTTATGAATTACAAAAAAAAACTAATACAACCGTTAGTTAAATGCTGCTGGACAACCCCCGTAGGGTTACGAATTAGGTGGAAAAAAATGACCCTCCAGAACCCGCTAGTTTTCAAGAAATCGCACTTTTTAGATTTTTAAAAATTTTTTCTCACTAATTTGTTTTCAAAATACTTAAAAAAAAAAAAAACGATAAACGATAACTAATCCAACCACTGAGCTAGAGTAACCATGCTGAAAGAAAAGCTGTGTCAGTCACCAACAATTTAAGTATCTAATCGAATCTACCGAAACATAAAAAAGAAAGTAAAAAAAAAAAAAACATATTGGCAGATCCGTGGTGGATCCTAGGATCCCGTTATCTGTCATCTCCAAGTCTCAGAATCTGTTATGTTGTATATTTAAAATTTGATGTTTTCATATACTGGAGAAATTCATTCTTTCTTTCTTTCTTTATGATTCGTAAAAACTCGCTTGAGAAACTCAAACCAGGTGAATGAAACATTTAAGAGACAGAGGCGACGAGGATCTTCGTAACAGCTGCGACACAATAAAAACAATGCATTACTGTTGAAAGAAAAAAGAAGAAAGTCATATTTTTTTGAAAAACTAAGCTGAAAAAATTTGTCGAAAAAACTACATGTATAGAAGTTTCAGAACTTTGGCTCGGGTGAAGAGCCTTAAAACTTTGAGAATCAATGAACGAGCTACAACTTGGGTAAAAAAAACTTGGGTCGGCCCTCATTAAACCGGAAATGAAGCTAAGTCATAAAAATTTCAAGCTTTAAAACTTATGAAATCATTATTTTAAAGATGCACCCCTCCCCTGAGAAAAGCAAGAGCACTTCTAAATTCGCCATTGAAGCTACGCAACAAAAGTTGACCAAGCCGATAAAACGTATACCGAACCCGTTTAACCGACAAAAAATTCACAAAAAAAATATATATTTAAAATCAGATTGTTTTTACTCGAAATTTTACGCTGCACTTCGCTAACACAAACAAGAAAACGACATAAAACAGCTCTAAAAACTGAAATAATAAATGGTAAAAATATGTCTTTTATAAAAATTTTTGCTGTGTGACGGGCTCTAACTCCGAGATTAGGAGTCTCACGTCATCGCATTTGCCCCATGAGCCCTTGAAAACCTAGCCCCCAATAAACAAGCAACAGTTGTTAAAAAATTGTCGATGCTATGCATAAAAAATGCCAAATTAAAAATAATAAGTTAAGTGCATCATTGAACCTCCGATCAGTAGATAGGGAGTCTCGCGTCCTTCCATCTGTGCCACGGCCGCTTGATTATCGGCAAACACTAGCCACCAATAAAATAGAGAACAGATGCTATGAAATTTGAAAGCTGCAGCAGACCGAAATTAGAGCAGAAGTACCACCAAATTAGCTTTTTTTACTTGCAACTTTGCTTTGAAAAAAAGATTCCTACAATAAACCTACGCTCACTTGCTTGCTTCTGATTAAAAGAAGAAAGCAACGCCACATAAGCCCTTTATTTTGGTTTTATATGGAAAGAAATGTCAAATGATTCAGTGTTTTTTTTTATAAATGTTAACTAAATGTTAGCCCGAAAAAATATATATATATTATCGAAAGCGCCATTAGATATGGAAACATAAAACGAATATCTAATACGTTAAACCTAATCATCTCACTTCCATCAATTGTACTCACATTGGGTGCTCCCAGTCTAAGTAGGGCCACTTCAAGACAGAACTCCACAAACAGCGTCACTGCCATCCAGCACCTGGCGCCTCTGGTCCTTCTGGAAGCAGTGAGGAGGAACGAGAGAAGGGATGAAAATAGGAAGAATATTACACTGTGTATCCAGATGTACTCTCCCAGCACGATTGACTTCAGCTGCTCTATTGCATTTACCATCTGCGGCAGGTCAGAGGTCAGGCTGCAGGTAAAAAAAAACTAACAAATTAACCGCCCTCTTCAATTCTGGCTGCCAAAATTTCTCAATGTACTCATTGGTACTATTGTACAACAACCTTTTCTCGCAGCGACCGAACATAAAAACTTTCAAAAGGCGTCTCTTTCACGCCAATATATACTGACTATATACGCCAATAGCGCAATTTAATGGCCAAAACTATCTTAAAATCCTCAAACACAATTTATTCCCAAAATTGGTCTAGACAGAAATCACAGGAACTTTTTGGAAAAAGCTGTTTTATTCTTTATACGGTTATGACCGAGTTCGAAATATTCGAATTAGCTGACCTATTCAAGCGCATGCTGCTGGTATTTTTTTGTCTATCTGAAATTCAAATTAGACCCAATGTGAGAAAACAAAAACCGCTTCCAGTTTTTCAGATAACTTTAATCATTGCTGTACATAAAATCGAATTGACGAATCAAGTGAACGCTCTCTCAACAAGCTCTCTATATCCAGTTTATGTTGGATAACGATTCAGCATCTCCAGGATTCGAGCTCAGGGTCGTTAATACGCTTTTAGTCGCCGCAGAAATTTAAACACTTGTCATTTATTTGGCCAACTTAAGAAAAATTTATTTGGCCAACTTAAGAAAAACGCTTATTTTTCAAATTCAACAGCGCTATAAATGGCGTTTTGCGGCAGCGTACTTGAAGGTCGGATGGTTCACATGATTCAAAATTGCATTTAAGGATACTCACATATCATGCACTTTGCTCACGATGAGTTCCAGGGCTTTGTGCTTTTCCAGTGTGCTATCCAGTGTACTGACCACTTGTGCACTGGTGTCTGCCAGTTGCTGAACTGTCTTCGCCTGCCACTGTTGCCACAACTGGGCCTGGTAAGAAGCATTCACTCTTTCAGAGAAGCAACAAATTTCAGATTGAAAAACCATATGGATGCTTAACTGCGTCGCTCTTTCCGTAAAAAACTGAGTATAAAACTGAATGCACCAGATAATTTTAATCATTAATTAAAAAATAAATTAAGAAATATCCAACAGACAGAAGGAAAAGCGCTATCAAACTCATATACATCAATCAACTCTGGTCCCAAATGATAAGCAAACCAAGCTCGGATCTAGGAATTTCTCGACGGGTCGGGGGTGATATTTATAAATTTTCTAGACGGGAGTTATTGGAAAAAAAACAGGCCTTAAGTGTTTGAGCACCTATTGGAAGGTGCTGACCTTTAAATTGCGTTTTCTCGGCACCACTCAAAAATAATTAATAAAGGCGCCGAGGGTTGGTCAGTCTACAATGAAATGGATGTAATAAAAAAATAAACAAAAAGGGAAATGCGTGGTCGGGGTCGAGTCCCAGAAAAGGGGCACCCCCCTTCCCACTCACGCTGCTGAAGTGTTGATAATCCGCTACTGAGTAAATCTTTTCGCAAAATGATGACATGCATGGAATTTGCACTAACCTGCACGAAGAAGCACAGATTCTCCGAATGAGTGAAGAATGTGGTGTAGATCTGGAAGGCCAAATCATTCATCCTTCCCGTACATTCCGACGCATCCGAATCCGTGTAACAAGTCATCTGTCCTTTGCCTGGAATCAAAGGTAACAAAAGTTATTACTTAGCCATCTAATCATTTAATTAGATATTTTTAGTGGCATCGCCCAGCGATTACTTGATTTAATAAAGACTTTATTTTTAAACATCTTTGAAGCTTAAAAAATTGGAAAAACACTCATCAATTCGATAATTTCAAGCTGAAAGATAACACCTTCCTTTTGAAGAGTCAGCGATGAAAAACTGTAATAAATGCAACAAAAACATCAAGAGAGCTCATGAAGGAGCACAACTATTTGACGAATACTTTTTTGAAATTTTAGCAAGAAAACAAACGCTCATTGATGTTATTCTTACATTTTTCCAGTCAACGCATGCCAAAAAGTAAAAGAAATGAAAAAAAGGTTAACTGCTGAAATAAACAAAAGCTACTACTCCGAGAAAAGTTTACCGTATCTTATAAATAAGTAATTAGCCAAGTCTTACTATTTGAAGAGACAACTTACAAAAGATACCGGCGATATGTTACAATAGGTGGTAATTTTGAGTGTAGTGCATGTATTGAATTTGAGAACTATAATGCATAATATAGTCATTTCATTTTCAATCAATTATACTACTACTAAGATAGTTTTTGTAAATACTATGCCAGATGAAATGCTATTCAAAAATTCAAAATTTACACTTCTTTTGCCAAAAAATTGGCTTTTGAAATAAATTATAAAAAATGTGCGACGTATAACAAAAAACGATCCAGCTATTCAAATTGAACGTACCACCTATTGTAATATATCACCAAGATACGAACCTGACATTAGTAGATGACAATTGGTGAAGGACAATGCCAGTATCTGCTGTTGTTCCTCTCTCATACTCCTACAAGACGTCTCCAGGTTGGCCAGCGCTTTCGTCCAGCACTTGCCATACTTCGGGTTCTCCGCCAGTTTCAGCATTTCGTTGTACTTGGCCTCGCCGGCGGCTGCAGGGGGGATGACTAAGTCTACATCCGGCACCGATCTTAAAGTCGAGCACTGGTGCAGACAAATTGAAACAATAGTTAAAAGTTCAAAAACAAGCATATCTGAAAACACCAACACTGATTTAAGAAACTTCAGCTGAAAATGAAGACAAAATAAGATAAATTATGAAAAAAAAATCAAAAAACAAAATCGTCGATTAAAACAATTGCCAAATCAATTTAATTATTGCATTACTGGCAATAATATTGATTGCACAGATTTTTATGGCTTGAAAATCCATACATTTGATGAAACAAAACGAATTTTTTTGCTGATGTTGATGTTAAACTAGAAATTGTGCATTTTCAATTTGTAATTAAAACTCTTATTCAATTGATTAGCATTGCGTTTTTAACAATAGCTGCTCCTCTAAGCTATAAGGACCAATCTTAATACTTGCTTCAGCATATGGCGTTACATTTTCTAAGTTTATTCAACTTTTGCCTCGAAGGTAATTCATAAATTGAAAAAATTATTGTTGAAACAGCATTGAGAAATAAACGGAAATGAATCGATTTACATAGGACTTAAAATTTAAGAGCTTTAAAACTTTTTCCATGTTAATAAGTTTGAATAATCTCGAGCTTACGTAATGCCACAGCAAGCATGTTACGGTAATTCCTTTTTAAACATACGAATTACTTAAGCTGATGCAATAATCTAAAGTTTTATCAGCTTTACCACAGCCGAAGTCGTAACCAAGAAACTGAACCCGAACCAAGAATTCATTGTCTCAAGTAGATCGAACCCCTTCGCAAGCGTTAGAAAAAAGCCTGCGCTAAAAAATAATATAGTCTTCACTGAAGCTCTCACTTAACGAAATTGTGTCTGAATACAAATAGATCTTTCAACTTATAAGAAAAGAAGAGAAACTATTTTATATTTAGCTGAAAAATTTTTTTTGAAAAACAATCAACAAAAACAAAAACACGAAAATTTCTATACGGCATAATTACTTAGCCGAAGAACGCTAACTCGATGTTCGGATGTAGATTGACATTTCCATATGACCATATCCCACACGCATAACTTTTATACCAGCTAAAGACTATCTGACGCACATGAAATTGCGCAGAAAAACACCCACCCGGCAAAGTAGTTCCTTCCCACGATATCGAGAGGTGTCGGAACGAAAAAATCTGATTCACAGTTGTCATTTCAGAAAACAATCCCAAGTTGACTCTAACACAATGAATTGAAGCAAAACTTTTGCACTCCTTTTAGCTTTGTTCGCAGTGGAGCTCAATTTGAAAAACAAGCTTCAAAACATCAGAGTCGATAGCCATAACATAAAATTGAGACACAGCGTTTTCAGACTTTTTGGATAAAAAATGAAAGAAAACAGAGGCGGAGCGGAGCTTCACAACCTTTGCGATACAACGCAATCACAACAATTCAAGTTGCTGAATAGAAAGTGAGACAGAAGTGGCAATTCAGTAATAGCAGTAGTAAAAGCTTCAATTACCCAAAAATGAGGTACAAATACATTCGACACCTCAAGTACCAGGTACAAGTTCTATGCAAATCGTAATGTGACGTAGAACGAAAGAGAGTAGAACAACAAAGTAGAACAAAAAAGAGCTTGCCGTATCAGCTTCTGCTTCTTGATGTTTATGGGCGCGTCCTGGATATTGATTCTAGACTCATGATAGAAACCGTTAACACGGTAAACTACTCGGTAAAAGTGAAACGAGTTTGTCACAACTTTATTCGCTAATCGCGAGTTTTAACTGGAAGACAGTTGTATTTCGAAGTACTAACCAAAATCCTCGAAACGAATGCAACTCAAGCCTATTTTCATTGTTGCGAAAAATCAATTTTGACAAAAACGCGAAGCTGCGCATCGCAAACACTAGCAAGAACACGACAAAAAACCGCCCTCTTAAGTACAATAAGAAAAAGTTGAAACAAGCCCCGAGTCAGTAAAAATTCGGATACGTCTCGGATTCGGAAAGGACCATATGACCATCTAAGTCCCTAGTGTTTGAGCTGTTCTAAGTTTCTCGGTGAGCAGAGACTCGGAAACCACGCAGGATAATCATATACAATTATTGCCAAAACAGGTTGAAAATTAAAGGAAAAAAACTACAAAAAATTGAAAGGTTTGTCTCAATCCGAAGTTCAATTTCACGATAACAGTCGCAAAACACAAACAAAAGCGTTAAAAACTTCAAAATGAAAGGACGACAAAACTTGGGTAAACAACCATTCATTACAAAAAAGCGCAATTACACAGAAAATTCTCTGGAACACTGCCAACTGACCGTTGGAAAAGACTAACGAACGCAAGGAAAACTGAATCAATAGGTATAACTTTTATTTCGCTGGGAAATCTGATAATAATTTCCATCTTCGAAATTAAAAATCGAAGTTTTTCGTGACCTTTACACTTTAGCTGTTTAATAGTGGAATTTGCCTTCTTTTAAACCACGGAAATGCACTTAACTTAAAAAGAAAGTCAAAACGCTAAAAAATCAAAAAAGCGTGATTAAATTTTTAAGACTTTTCCTGAAAAAAAATCACCAAGACCTATATAAGAATACTCACTACGTTCAAAACTCTTAAAAAATTTCTTTAATGTTTGAGTTGCAACTGAAGGGACTCTAAGAATAACTGGCATAACAGCTGGCATCAAATTATGAACAAAAAATATCAGTAATTCAGTGACCATTTACAGTGCCCGTAAACCATTTAAGAATCCTGGAATTGAAGTTCTTGATTTTTTGAGAATCGTTATTTCTAAGAACCAAAAAGAAAGACCCCAAAAAATTAGACCACCCAGAATCGGAACAGATTAGAACCCACAGAAGCCCAAAAATTTCTAGGTATACGACAAATGTTGGAACATAACCGTTCAATTTTTGCGATTCGGATCTGTGAGGGAGCCCTATGATGGAAAAAACATAACTAAAAAATGTCCAAATCAGTCTTTGGGTCGTTGAAAGCTTCAAAAGATTATCATCAGAGCTATCGCGGATAGTTTTTTGCGAAGTATGATCTGTAACAAATTCGAAGACTTTCTGAAAGCCTCAGTTCAATGTCAGCAGCCGTTTAACATTATAACCGAACTTCGATTGGACTTTATCAACAAAAATCAACAATTGCGTTATGCAAGAAAACACTAGCAAAAACTACGCTGCTTCTTGCTTTTTAAATTGACACATTTAAAAAATTACATTCTTTAGCAAAAACTAGCGAAATTCTCATAAAAAATAACTAAGATAGTCTTTCACAAGAGACTTGAACTTATTTTTACTAGGGGGCAATATACGAGCTGCTTCTTAAAACCAGAGAAAGTACAGGAACCAAGCTGAGTTTAGACGAAGAAAAAATTAAACAAACGCAGTGTCATCCGGCCGGATTGGCAATGTACTATATAAATTATTAAGCTCATTGTGTTGAGCTGGTCAGTTGACCTTGAAGACAAAATTAACAAAGAGTTTAGCTTATATCATCAGAACTTAAATAAAGAGTTTACGAACCAGTTGTCTTATTTATGCTCTCAGCCTGCCTTATTCACCTTTGACTTGCCAATCCATTCGGATTCAATATTAGCATTAAGCATACCTAAGGGTATGACATGGCGCAGTCAGCAGGATCCAAAAAAACCCACTCAACATTAATTCATTTTGGGAAAAAACATCAGCGGAGCCCCGCTAGAATGGAGTAAATGGGTCACAATTGTAGAACTTGCACTATTCGCAAAAGATGGAATAGAGATTCAAGATCTGCTACGTGAAAAACCTGATATCGTTCTGCCAACTAAACCAATCTTAGAAGTCGAAATACAAGGAGAAACAGATGCACAACGAAGAAACAGAGCGGTTAGAAACCAAGAGAAGAACGTAGATTGGGAAAATAGATGCCAAAAAGCAAGAGACAAGGGCGTTATGTTTAACTGAGTAATCTGGGACGAGGCGGATGCGAGAGTACGAAGCTATTTATTTCTATGTCTAGGCATGGAAGGACAAAGACAAGTTCAACAAAAACGACCAGGACTAAATATACAAACGACAACGACAAGACAATTAAAACAAGTATTGGAAGACACTTTTATCACACAAAGAATCATAGCAATCGAAAGATACAATTTTATCTGCCGTAAACAAAGAAAAAATGAAACACTGGAACAATTCCACGCTGATCTGGTGGAACTAGCTTCACGTGCAGACTCTGGAGACAAGAAGGATGAATAGGTTCGTGATATGTTCACCGCGCATATGAACAATGAAAAAATTGCCGAGGAGCTATTAGCGGAAACAAGAACGCCACAAGAAGCATACGAATATGCAATAAGACGTGAAAAGGGCATCGAACACAGCAAAACTATGAAATTAAATCCAATCGGACCCACCTCGCCGGTGACGATCAAACAAGAACCAATGGGCTACATCCAACCTAGAGGAGGTCGTGGCGGATTTTCTTCAAATTTCCAGAACAATAATCGAGGAAAATACTCGCGCGGAAGACAAAACCAAAACACAAGGGAAAATCAAAACAGAGGTCCGCAGAACTACACTTCTCAAAAACAATGCTATAAATGTGGAAACCTTTCAGCCCTAACCATCTACAAACATGTCTAGCCCGGGATAAAAATTTGCACAAAATATGCAAAGCGAGGACACTTTGCGAGAGTCTGTCGTTCACATCATGCAAACTTTCTTCCAAAGAACAATGAAGACGAAGCGAGAAATGAAAATGAAAGTCAACTTCACAAAACCGAAGATAACGACCCAGTTGCTTTTGCTGAGTTCACATCACACAGCGGATGGGAGAAACTACAGAGAGATAACTACTCCATGGTGGCAATAGCAGATGCATTTGAAATCAAACAAACGGTAAATATCAGTGATGAAGATTTAAATGGACATATTGTGAAACTCAAAACAAAATCAGCTGGAATACTTGCTATCGCGGATTCCGGGAGTCCAATGTCATTCCTAAACGAAACGACGGCACGTCGAATACACCAGAATGATAAATCCAGTATTTGTTTAAAAAAATCTCGCTGGAAAATACAGCACGAAATCTAGCATGCTATAGGGAAAAGTTATCATCCCCAAAGGACGACTAATTTTAGCAATAGAATCCGGCGGGTGGACTATCGAATCGGCCCCATTTATTGTGGTGGACGACCAAAAAGCGAACATTCTCGGTCGTAATTTACTCCCAAACATCGGAAAAAAATTAGTTCAAGAAAAATCACAATATAAACAGGTCCTGAATATAACAGAAGAAGAAAAATCACACCCGGAGATAAAAACAATGGGTAAGAGATAATTTCACAAATTTTTGTGTTAGAATCGGAAAGTCAAAAAACCATGTTATGAAAACACAATTTATTCCGGACGTTACACCGATTCAAGAAAAACGTCGACGTATTCCAATCCACATTATAAAACTCATTATAAAACTGGAAAAATGTTCCGAAAAACAATTCATCAGTCCGCTGTAATAACACTAAAAAGGATCAAACGGTCAAACTTGCATTAGATTCAAAGAAAATTAATAAATTCATTCATGAAAACAAGTACCAGATGCCGAACATCGATTTATTACTCGATAAAATCGCACACACGATAAAATCCTACCCAAAAGAACAAACATTGTTCTCATCTCTTGACGTATGATACGCATATTTACAAATCCCTTTGGATAAGAAAAGAAGAGATCAATGCAATTTTAGCCTCATTGGAGGAAACGCCACGGGAACATACCAGTTTCAAACTGGATTTTACGGCCTCACAGATATGCCGGCAGAACTCCAGAAAGCAATTGACCTGACATTAACTAATTGTAAAAATACATATGCGTATCAAGATGACATCTTGATTATTACGAAAGGATCAGTAGAAAAGCATAAAGATACTCTGGAAAAAGTTCTTCACAAACTGGACGAAGAAAATCTCACAATATCATTGGATAAATGTAAGTTTGCTTGCAAACAAATTGAATGGCTTGGGTTTCACATTGATAGCGAAGGGACTACCCCTTTATCAAGGAAAACAGACGCTATCGAAAATCTTTTCCCACCTAAAACATTCAAACAACTTAACTTTCATGGTATCAATACATCATCTTACAAGGTATATCCCACATTTGGCACAGGCCGCTGCGGCACTACGTCCTCTTCTAAAAAATTCAGACAAGCACAAAACACTTAGTTGGTCGGCTGAACATGAATCCGCATTCCAAAGGATTAAAAAGTTAGTCGCTGGAATTACTCGAAATAAACATTTTGATCAAAACCTTGATACACGTGTAGTATGATATGCATCTACATATGGACTCGGCGCGGCCCTAGAACATAACACACAAGAGGGGTGGGTAGCTATTGCATACGCGTCAAGATTTCTAAATTCGTTGGAAGAAAAATATTCAGTAAATGAGCTAGAACTATTGGGGGTCGTGTGGGCGATAGAACACTTCAAATACTATTTATAAGGGGAAAATTTCACAGTCATTACTGATCATCAAGCTTTGATCAGTGCATTAAACGCCAGCGAACGATCTAAGACAAGCCAAAGTAGGCTCACGAGATGGATTGATCGTTTAATCCCTTTTTTTACCAATTACATTTTACAGTGCTTCTGATTGCCTTCTCAAGAGTCGAAACAAAACCATTCATTTTAACTGTTTATGATCAATTATAAGCCCATGCTGACTTTTCAATATCATAACCCGACATATTAGTATTCAGTGAATCAAAATTCCGCGCTACTTGTAATTAATTAAAAAATAAAAAGAGAACTTATAAGCATTCAATTCAATTGAAACTTCGATACGAGTAATCATATATACCATTTTATACCATGTTTATTCCATAGTTCGCTCATTTTTCCAAATAACTTATAAACATGTCATTCTAGAACACAACTCCGGAAAATACTTTCTCGGTTAAACGCATAAGGAGGCAGCAGTTAAAGAACCATCTCATAACAAGTAGGGATTACAAAAACAACTTCGCAATAGAAGAGTAACATTCTGTAGTTTTGAGGAAGTGTGAATTGTGAAACAAGGTCAAGTGAGACGTCAGATCACTAAATGCATTAGGTTAGGACTGGTTAGACTTCTTCTCACAGTCGTCACTGTCACTTGTTTCACTCGATGACTCATCCGAAGAAGTGGAGGACGAGGAACTCCCTGATGACTCATTCTGGGCCATCTAAAACAAAGAAAGAGCGGTTCAAAAAAAAATTTCGCCGCAGACCGTAATGACGCCATCACATAAAATACACTTTTTGTCTTATATGCTATCCCTTATTGCAACTTCAGAGCAGTTTTCGTTCAAATCTTACCACAGTTGTTTAGTATGAACACAACAGTTGAAATAAAGGCTTTAATTTGGTGGTTGAATTGCGGTTTTCTTTACCTCAATTCAAAGTCCTGGTCAGTGTTTTCTATAAAAAAGTTTTTTTAAATTTTATATACGATATGACTTTGTGTCTCTTTCATACAAGTCATATATAATCACTTCTGGCAAATAAAATCATATGTAATTTTCATATAAAAGGTAATTTAAAAAAAAAAAATTGATTTTGAGGAACTCTATGGTTGACCTGTCTTTTAGTTTTCGAAAAATTATCTTCATATAGCACAACTGTTATCTTCATTAAAACAACGAAAGGTTAGTTTTCGAGGAAGGTTAGTTTTCGAAAAAAAATTAAAATAGATTCAACATTACGAGGCCAAACTGTGCACTGGATAAGCGCACAATTTTGTGGCTGTATGTTCCTGGATTCCAGAGACAATTCTTTAAACATGTTAAATTTTTTCGGAACGATCAAAAGAAAGTAAAGAACAAAAGAAGAACAAAGGGAGCGTCCTTGTTGCGGAATCCGCTTACAATGCAAAAAATGCACAGTTTGGCCTCGTAATGAAAAAAAGTTTAAAAAAATTTGACTATTTCGAAGGTCATAATTTTGTGTAAAAAACGTTTGCGCGTAGCCGCTTATAGAGGGAAGCTTTTAAAGTCCTTTTTATTCATTCAAATCAATATCTCAGATTTGGAACGTTAGTTTTTGAGAAAACGGAAAAAAATCAAAAATATCGGTCAATTATTCCTACCCACAGGCTTTTGCGAAGGCTTTTTGAAGGGTAAAGCAAAAAGAGATCAGGGAAGTATGCATGCACACAAGAATGCAGGCAGTCTTTCTACGGATACTACTTTTTTGAAAATCGGTAGATCGGTTTTCGAGAAAAAAAACTACATTTTTTTGTAAAATGTGATAAAATTTTCCAAAGCATCTCAAAAAATATATAATTAAAGTGCCCAATCCCATACACTTTCTCATAATACTTGCTTTTTATCAAACAAGAATTCTGGTCAAACATGCCAAGCAAAACATTTGAAATTCAAACTAGCAACTGAACAATACTTTCGAAGCGGAAAAAAGGCCGACAATATTTGAGCAAACACCAGCTAAGCCGGAAAAAAAAACATTTTTTTTGAAGAACTTTAAAAAGTTTCAAGTCCCCCTGAAACTACCCTGTTGTAACTAGTATATGCCCAGTAGCTAAATTTGAATTTTCATAAAACAGCATGTCATGCAGCTGACATGCTCAATTTCATGAAAACTCAAATTTGATTCAACTGATTTTGTTAAACTAGTTGTTAACCGGAAAAATGTCTGCATTCCGATTTGATAACGTTTGCTAATCGCAAGCGTAAATAGTAGATTAGAGTATAGTAGTATAGTGGAAGTGACCTTGGCTTTGTATGCCTTCTCGAAGAGTGACATGCTGTTCTGCTGCAGAGTGTTCCTCCTCTCCCGAATGGTCTCGGCAGTCTCCTCCTCCTTATTCGCCATGAACTTCTTCACGTCCTCAATCTCGTCCTTCAACTTCTGCAGCTACAACACACCGACACACACAGATTACACATTTGGATTCAATTACAGATTTGTCTTATTCATAAAAAACCATAATTTCTGTAACCCTTTTTAAATAATGCAGCAAATGTCAACCAATACACAAATCAGCATTAAACGAACCAGGCTAAGAATAAATATATCATTTGATCGCTGGATACCGTCATTACGTTTCTGAGCATCATATAGCGATGAATTAAATCACGTGAAGAAAAAGTTAATTACAAAGAAAACATCAGAAATCACCAAAAACAATTCAGCATCAAAAATATTTCCCAGACCAGCAGTCGGGACAAAAAAGGCCATCAAAACGTCAGAAAGTATCATGGATCACCTAAAAGTTCAACAAAAACTACTGAAAAAAATTGCATTTCACTCAATTGACAAAACATTATTATCATTTAATAACACATCAAATCGGCTGAATTACAAAAATCAAAGATAGTATTTGAAAAAAATGTCAAACTTTGAAATTGGACACAGAAACGAATCTGCGCTTCGAATCATTTGCAATTCAAAAATGAACGACTATGATTAAAAACAAATGAAAATCAAAAATTGAACAAAAACCTAAAGCTCCTTGTTTACACAGAATGATGCGGGAACTAAGCCGACAAAAATAAGCAGAAAGACAAAAATCTAAGATAGCCGAAAATTTTGACTTTAAAAAAAAAACAAGTCTCGAGTGGAACCTAACTACCGGGCTATGGGTGTTACAGCAATTTGAAAGAGAGCTGAACCTTCAAAAAAAGTCTGGCAACAGGAACTAAGCCGACAAAAATAAACAGACGGACTATAGTCTGAAAAAGCATAAAAACTCTAGTTAGCGAAAAAAACACGTCCCTGGATTTGCACCACTACTCCCCCGTCTCAAGCAGGTATGTTACCTCTACGCCAGTTGATTGATTGAATATATATTAAATCAAGTAAAACACTGGTAGGATTTGCACGTGCACATTCTATGAACAAAGTTGTTTAATGAAAAAAAAGTCCTGCACCAGTTGTAACGCCATAGGGTGATTTGAGTTTCAAAAACATAGCTAATAAGCCGTCTGGGATAAATTAGTAACCTTAGCTAACAAATTCTGTGTTCAAAACTTAGATAGTTGGCTAAACTTAGATTTGTGGAGCAGAGGTTTTGGTTATATTCTATATCTGGAAACAAAAGATTTTTTTTCCGTGGAAGCACAAGCAAATTTAGTATTTAACACTAGTGCGCTACTGGCTATATCTATGACAGATTTGCAGCAAGCGAAGATTGAATTCTTAATGAATTTTTTGAGTCGCAAAAAACTACCAAAATTAGGGCCATTCTACAGCTGGAACAAACATCTGGCCTGAAAATACGAATACTTAAAGAAGTTACTGAAACCAAATAGAATTATGTTATGGCCTAATTCTACAACTACAACTAAAACCCCAATTAAAACTCTAAAATAGAGTCAACAGACAGCTGAAAAAGAGTCACTGAACGCAAGTAAACAAAAAAACTAATTCGTTTTCAGAAAAAAAACTTTCGAATTTCAGAAAAAATTAATGACCCTAAAGCTCTTTGACTTTCAAGATTAATTTAAGGTTGACTCTTTTTTGATAAAATTAACCAAATTTAAGAAAACTGGATCAATATGTAAACTTTTTATTCAGCTGGCAAATCGAAAAATCCGATTTCGAAACTGAAGACGCGGTCATGTTTTTTGGCGACCTTTCCATTTTCGTAATTGGAGAGAGCAACTTGCCTACCTTTCGGCAAATTAATTAAACTGATCTCAAAAAGAGCAGATAATGTCTTTGAATTTTTGTGGATTTATATCACTTTTAAGCTCTTTTAAATTGAAGTACCTTTCATGATCGACACATTTCGATACACAGAGGCTAAGCGGCGCTTTGCAAACACTAGCAAGAAAATTACAAAAAGCCACTCTAACGATAATTAAGAAAACGTAGAAATATGCCTCAAATTAGTCAAACATTTGATAAGTGTCAGATTCGAACCTGCGACCTCGAGATTCGGAGTCTCATGTTCTCGCCACGGGCCATTGAAAAACTGCTAAGACGCCCTCAATTATGCAGTTATAGATGCTAATAAATTTCCAATGCTACCAAATATGAATAAAACCTCCGAGAAGTAGCTTAGTAATCTCACGTCCTTTCCTCTGAGCCCAACGGCAAACACTAGCCACCAATAAAGCAGAGAACAGATGCTAAGGAAATTCCAATGCTATAGATCGCGATTATAGCAAAAATGTCGCCGAATGAGAACTTTATTTCAGAGAAACACACTACGCCTGCTAAATCGCTGGAGTAAAAACTATCCCAAGCTGAAAAAATGGCATTAGAAGGTATTTTTTACTGGAAAATCAATTAGTTAAAATCCATTTTTTCACCTAAAGTTTTGCACTGTTGCGTAATTTGCGGTCAAAGGATGCAAACTGAAATTAAAACAAGACTGCTCTTATCAGGGCAAAGCCCTGAATATTCCGACTACCCATTAAGATCTGAGGAATAAGTCAACTTTTGGAAAAACTCAAAAATTGAAACTTCAAACTAAAATTATTTTTCATTTTTCAGCAAATAAACTCCACAAAACGTACTTCTGAAGCGTCCAGTTGGTCTTTGAATTCGTCCAATTTGCTCTCGATGTCATGTACTTGGGACTCTGTGAGATTGACCTCTTCGATCCTCTCTCTGCTCTTCTTGTCTTCTTCTGCATGGGCCTCTGCGTTGGCCACCATCTCCTCAATCTGATCCTTGCTCAGACCTCCCGAAGACTGGATTGCAATCTGCTGCTCACGGCCAGTACCCTTGTCTGCAAAAAAAGATAAAATTGATTTAATGTATAAAAAAATGCAATCAAAAAGGCATTTTTTGACTCCACAGGAATAATCTTCAAATTTTAAACACACCCTCAATACTAAAATGATGATACAATTTTCCCGCCACTTCCACAATTCAGAGTTATTTCAATGTGAGTTAAATTGAAGTCAGTTGTTCATTGTTATTTTAATGACATTTTAATTAACTAACAACTCTAAATAGAGAATCAGAAGTTCTTGCAAGCCAATTCCGATTTTTTTGAAAACCAACAAACTGGCAAAACTGACTTGAACTTGAAAGAAAAAAACTTGATCTAACGTATACACAATGACAATAGGACATACATACCTTTAGCGTGCACATGCACAATTCCATTTGCATCGATGTCAAAGGTGACTTCGATCTGGGGCTGGCCCCTGGGGAGAGGTGGGATGCCGACCAGCTGGAACTGGCCCAGCAGCTGGTTACTGGCCGCCATCTCACGCTCCCCCTGGAACACTTTGATCTCCACTGTTGTCTGGAAGTCGGCTGCAGTGGAGAACACCTGCAACACGATTGATATGAATTGGTGGGACAGCAAACTGATGTATAAATCAAACAAATATTGCCAATTTTTAGGTCATTGAATGCGTCGACTTTGATTGAAGTTTCACTGATTATGGCGGGTAAATAATCGACATAAAACAACTAATTCGGCAACGATCATAAATTAAAAAATAAAGCGTTATTCAAATATGCCTCAGCATTATTTTATGTGCAAAAACTGCAAAACTTTTTCAAAAATCATTAAACACAAAAAATTTCAAAATATATATATTTGAGCTATCAAGAACTTTTGCACATTACATGAAATTTTATATGAGATATCTTTTCTCCGTATCCAATTATTAGGCACTAGACCATTAAATGCGAAAAGTGATCGGAAACAACTAGACCCATTTTTATGAAAACAAAAATGATCATGAATAATCTTTGAATAAAAGTTAACTACCATACCTGAGACTTCTTGGTGGGGATGGTGGTGTTCCTGTTGATGAGTCTGGTGAATACTCCCCCCAGAGTCTCGATTCCCAACGAGAGGGGAGTGACGTCGAGGAGCAACACATCAGTCACGTCTCCCGCCAGCACTCCGCCCTGGATCGCAGCCCCCACTGCCACTGCTTCATCTGGATTCACACTCTTGCTCGGCTGGCGACCGAAGATCTCAGACACGATCGACTGCACCTGATCAGGAACAAGACACATCAAGAAAAATATAGTCGATAGATTGGTAGTCATAGCTTAGTTTTATGTATTGATGTGCTCGGGGCTTGAATTGGAATCAGGCAAGGATCTACAATTTTTTCGATGAAGGTAAGATTTTCATTTCATTTATTAGCCCTCGGTCCTGCTCAGTGCAGGACCAATCGTGGGGGAGGGAGATGTCATCCTTTTCGCCGCAGCCAGTCCCACCTTGAGGAGGCGGATGACACTCGGACCGCTCTAACCGAGACCGAAGTGGGTTTCGATCGCATGACCGTGAGCCCAACCAGTCAGATCTTCATGCAATTTTTCTAGAAAAGCCGGAATGCAGTTTTAGGGTACTTTTTTGAAGGAGTAAATAAAACTGTGATTTTTGGGAGCCCATTTTCAGTTTTGAAATTAATATCCGAGAGCTTTATTAAGAGGCCACTGACCTTTGGCATTCGAGACATGCCTCCGACCAGGATGACCTCCCCGACCTCGCTTTTAGTGACATCGGCGTCCTTGAGGGCCTTCTTGCAAGGTTCGATGGTCCTTTTGATCAGTGGCTCCACTATACTCTCGAACTGTGACCTGGTCAACTTCATGTTCATATGTTTGGGTCCAGAAGCGTCCATAGTGATGTAGGGCAGGTTGATATCAGTCTACGGGAAACAAAACAATAGGTGAAAAAATGAATATACAATTTCTTCTTATTGATCAACACATTCGAAGTTTGAAGAAAGCAAAGGCAGCGAAATATTTTATCCCTGATTTACATGATTTCCAGCGCACATCTTAAGAAATGGCTTTTCAAAATAACAAAGGAAATAGACATTAGTGAAGAAATTCTTCAAGACCTAAAATTTTCACTTGTACATCACTCAGTTGAAAAATATTACACTGCTGATTCAAATTATCCGGACAGAACGCAAAAAAATGATTAGAATATGTTTTTTTTTCAAAGTGGGTTGACATTAAGTGGAAAAAGTTGAATTTATTTTAAATTTAAAAAATTGTTGTTTATAAAAGAAAATGAAATTTTTTTGTCTATCAAAAAAAATAAATTAATTTATACAGTGCTTTGGGCTTCGTTGGGCTTCGTAAGAGGGTAGTTTTGATATAAACTTGTCAGTAATTAACTCCGTAGTTTTGGGGCAATTTTTGAATTGCTAAAAAAAGCCAAAAATGATCAATTTTTGGGGTAACAGTTTGGGTCTGAATTTCGCAATACAATTTTTACAATATTCACTAAGCTAAAATTCTAAGAAAATTTTCAGCTCATCGTATTTCGCCTAAATTAAACCCAATTTGGGAAAAACACGTTTTAAATTTCAAGGTTTGTGCATTTTGTCCGGTTAATTTAAATCAGCACTGCAGACAGATTTTATTATGATAAAATAATTGCAAGCCATCGCATTTTTGGTTTATACTTGGATCGATCGTAAACTCTTAAATTCTGTTCAATTTCGCTGGCATTCAATCATAATCTACCTGCATTGAGGATGAAAGTTCCACTTTAGCAGCTTCTGCCGCCTCACGAAGTCTCTGCAGTGCCATATTGTCTTTCTTCAGATCGATGCCTTGATCCTTCTTGAAAGCATCAATCAAATGGTTCAACAGTGCATTGTCGAAGTCCTCCCCTCCCAGGTGGGTGTCCCCGTTTGTAGATTTGACCTCAAACACTCCCTTCTGAATCTCGAGGATTGAGATGTCAAATGTTCCTCCTCCCAAGTCGAACACGGCAATGCTAGGAATTAGACAAATTATATCAGTTGAATTTAAGACAAGAGGCGAGTGGACACTCTGCGAAGAAATAAAAACTGCTGATCAACTGGGGACAAAAAATATAGACACTAAGAGTAACAAAAGAACATCGACAAATCGAACCGGACAATTGAATGGAACCTTTCTAGGAAAATGCAATAGAAGAAAACCCATCTAAGTCGAAACAATTATCATATTTAGCTACAGCAAAGTAGAATATTCATTAAAAAAATCATGTTCAAAATTATTTATAATTAGTTGAAATTAAGTATTACTCTAATCAAGTTTGCTATTCGACACCACATTAGACTGAAACGATAACCTACTACTGGCCCCGATGTCAATCTTTTCCGAGTCTCGCATTGTTAATTGTTAACCACTGTCACTTCTTTCTTTAAAAAGCCTCAAACTTGCTCGACATTTTGAATGGGGAAAATGAGCCCAGCAACCACGTTGAAAAAACCAAGAAAATACAACAAAAATTTAAATCGAAACTGGAGCGATACCTGGCAGCTTTCACTTGATGTAAATGTCTCAATTGAAAATAAACAAGAAAATAAATAAGAACAGCCAGATGATGGGCAAGGCGCACAGAAAATTCCGTGTCATAATTTCCTTAAAAAAAAACGAAACGGAACATATTCACAAAAATTTGGGGTTTTTAATTCAGGTACCGAGAAGGACTTACAATTTTCTGAATTTAGACTTCAGAATAACTTTCTTTTCAAACTCAAGTCAAAATAAAGATATTAATTCCTATTTCTATGATGATACAAAATCTAGCAGAAAAGCACAAAAAGCCACATTTTTTTATCTTCCCTTTAAACGTATTGCATATCTTTGAAAAAATCAGGACCAATTTTGATTTAATCGACCAGAGCTAGCCTGTAAAAGCTTTTCAGATTGGACCAAAACTAGTTACGAGTTATGAACTCTAAGCCTAAAAGACAAGTTCATTTGATTCCGGACGCTATCAAGAATCATCAGTATAGAATGGATGCTCCTTATGACACAGTGCAGCCAATATAAATCAGAAAAACTATGAAACGTATCAAGATTCAATGCTAAGTCATCACAATAACCAGGCCCACCGAAAACAGAGATAAAGTCTACAACTACATGACCATAAAGGCAAAGATTATTGAAGTATTATGACAAATTAACAAACTGGGTATCAGCCTATATAGGCTAAAAACAACAAGTCGTCTATAATTCCAAATTATTTCAACAAATTATCGCGACTTTCTCTTGAAATTTCAATAATTTTACTGAGATTTGAACACATTCAAATAACTTAAACACAGAGGCGAAGCTTCGCAACACTTGCGAGAAAATGACAAAAAACCGCTCTCTAAAATGCAATAACAAAAATTAGAAAAAAGCCTCGCAAAAAAATTTCGGCTGCTTCTAAAACTTGAACCTGCAATTTAGAGGTTAAGAGTTTCATACACTAACCACTCAGCCACGGACGCTTAATAAACGCCAAACAATAGCCAAAACAAAAGCAGAGAACAGATGCTATGCTAGGCAATTTCCAATGCTACAGTGAAATTTCCAAATACGTGAACACTTTTATTGAACACTTTTACTTGCGAGTTAGGTTAGAAAAAAAGAAGATTCGTACCAACATACTAAGCTGATCGCAGTTGTAAAAACAAAACAAATTCAGACCTTTTTCGGCATTTTTAGTGAGAGATGCAGTAGGGCCTAATGTAGAATTACATATTCCTAAGTGACAAACCAGAAAAATATTTTCCATTGGTTTGTGTCAAACAGAGACGATTTTTTTTTTCAGACAAGAGAAAAATACATCAAAATGACGCCTGAAATCAAAAATACTCAAACCATTCTTGGGATTCTGATCACCAAAAAAAGACCAAAATTTAGCTGTGACAACAATTTCTGATGGGATTAAAACTAGTTGCGGGTTCTAAGAAATATGATGCAGTGAAACAGACGAGCTTGAGCTAATTTGAATCATGACTTCTATGACAGACTAAAAAGTACAGAAGACTAAATACTTAAAAGCAAAAGACCGGCCAGTGTATTTCAGAGTAACTATGAAACGTATCAGGATTCAAATTCTGAATAGTCATCACTATATCGAGGCCAGTTGAAAACAAAGCTCAAACTAACCACAAAACGAAACAAGGATAATCCTTAGCTGTGCAAGTAGCAGAATGTTTCGACCATATTCACACACACAAAAAACTGAAAATAAAAAAAATGACATGATCGGTAACAATGACCGACAAAAATGAAAAAAGATGTAAAATTTTTTTTATATGTTTTAGAAAAAAACTTTTATTGCCAACGAAGCACAAACCTTAACATCCAAAACAAGTTTTCTTTCCTAGTAAATTAATTTTTTTAGCCTAAAGGTCTAAATAAAAGTAAAATTTCATAGCGATCGTTACTCGGTCACTTTTCTCGCTCAAAAATAGACGAAAAATCTAGAGTTTTAAACCAGTTTTTCTCCACGCTCGGTCGGAAGTTTTTAAAGTCGATCGAATCACGACTGAAAGGATTTAATATGATATACTAATTAAGCCAGTCCAATGATTAATTGTGGTACCTGATTTTGCCTGGAAAACAAAAAAAAACTAAAACACAGCCAATGATCGGAAAAAAAACATAGCTCACTGTACCAGCAACTCACGCGAAGAAGTATCACCACGGATCATTTTTGATGACAAAAAATACAACCTATAACTCCGAGCTAATGCAATAAATAACTAATTTTGTTTTTGAAACTTCCATTAATTTCAGTAAGACTAGAGGGTTGGGAATTTCAAACTTTGAAGAAAAAATTCGTTTGAGTTTTCTGAAAATTTTTTGAAAAAATCACAAGAAAACGTCATATCTCGAAAACTACAAGGAATTGAGCAGTAACTCCTGAGAGTACTCTGATAGCCCCCGCCTACAGGGTTTGGAATTTCAAATTTTGAAGAAAAAAAATAAATTTAAATTTTTTGAAAATTTTTTGAAAGTAGCAAAAAGGCATCTCTCAAAACTCAAAAACTACAGGGATATGAGCAGTTAAAATTGGAGGCAAGGTTCGCAATACCTGAGAGTACTCTTATAGCACCCAACTACAGGGTTGGGAATTTCAAACTACGAAGAAAAAAAAACATTCGTTAGGTTTTCTGAAAATTTTTTGAAAAAACACAAAAAACGTCATGTCTCGAAAACTACAAGGAATTGAGCAGTCATATTTGAAGGCAAGATTCGTAACTCTTGAGATTAATCTGATAGCTCCCAACTATAGGGTTAAAAATTTCAAATTTTGAAGAAAAAAAATTGTTGTCTTCTGAAAATGTTTTGAAAAATCACAAAAAAACGTCATATCTCAAAAACTACAAGGATTTGAGCAATTAAAATTGGAGGCAAGTTTCGCAATACCTGACAGTACTCTTATAGCACCCAACTACAGAATTGGGAATTTCATACTAAGAAGAAAAAAAACATTCGTTAGGTTTTCTGAAAATTTTTTGAAAAAACACAAGAAACGTCATGTCTCAAAAACTACAAGGAATTGAGCAGTCATATTTGGAGACAAGATTCGTAACTCCTGAGAGTAATCTGATAGCCCCCAACTATAGGGTTAAGAATTTCAAATTTTGAAGAAATAAAATTGTTGAGTTATCTGAAAATTTTTTGAAAAATCACAAAAAACGTCATATCTCGAAAACTACAAGGATTTGAGCAGTCATATTTGCTACACCCGATTCTCGCTACACTCGCTACCCCCGAGAGTAAGACTCGCTACACCCGAGAGTATCCACCCGAGATACTCGCTACAAGACTCGCTACACCCGAGAGTATCCTGGCAGCACCCAAATACAGGGTAAGGAATTTCAAATTTTGAAAACAAAAATTATTTCAAGTTTTCTGAAAATTTTTTGAAAAATCACAAAAAAACGTGATATCTCGAAAGATGGAAAAAAAGATAGAAAAAACAAATCGACAAAGAAGGATCGAAAAAAGACAGAAAAAAACGATAGAAAATCCAGATAAAGATAAAGAGAGATTGGAGACAACCGTTTGACAGTAGTACTATTTTGAACTAAATCGTCGAAACCAAATTGAAAGTGAAAAATTAGGAGAGGGGTAGACAGGCATAATCAAATAAATTAAAAAAGCAGGTATTCAGACAGACAGACAGACCTTATTTGGCCTCGAAAACAATACTGAAAAATTAAAGACCTTGTGCAAAACTAATTGAAAAATTTTCTTAAGCATTGCAAAATATGATAGCTTAAACATGAAAAAAACTCTTTCGTTAAACATGCAAAACTATTAAGCTTGAACATGGGAGATAGCTGTCACTAGCATTTAAATATAGTATAGATAGATAGATAGTTAGATAGATAGATAGATAGATAGATAGATAGATAGATAGATAGATATAGACAGATAACGCCAGAAAAGAGCTTCACTTAGCTTAATAGAGTTTTACATTTGAAAAAAAAATCAGATATCCGTTCATTTTCGATCATGAATCAAGAAAGCGTCATTTTCATCACTTTGTCGATGAAGCTCCACTACAGTTCACAACAATTTTATAACTACATCAGGCGTAAAATCCGAAGTAGAGAAATTGCAAGCGAAACCACACAATTTCCAATATAAAACCAAGTTTCAATTATGATCAGAATAGATATAAATTATAAAACAATGAAATTCAGATATCCGTTCTTTTTCAATCATTGATCATGCATTTGATATTTTCATCCTTATAACCAGCAATTTTAAACCCAATTTCATGTCTACGAAGAAGAGTGATGCATATACTAGACTGCGCGCCCCATAAGAACGGGTTTATCATCCACATTAATTCGAACTTGATACTCACATTTTATCGCTTGTCTTCTCGAGCCCATAAGCCAGTGCAGCGGCTGTTGGTTCATTAATCACCCGCAACACGTCTAGTCCAGCTATCTGCCCAGCATCTTTGGTAGCCTGTCTTTGGGAGTCATTGAAATAGGCTGGTACCGTAACAACTGCGTTCTTCACGTTGCTTCCAAGATAGCTTTCAGCAGTCTCTTTCATTTTAGTTAAAACGTATGCTCCAATTTGACTGGGTGAATACTTCTTGCCATGCGCTTCGAGCCAGGCATCACCATTATTTGCTTTCACAATTTTAAATGGCACCGTTTTGATGTCTTTTTGAGTCTCTGGGTCGTCAAAGCGACGACCGATGAGTCTTTTCGTAGCAAACAAGGTATTTTCTGGATTTGTAACAGCTTGACGTTTAGCGGGAATACCTACAAGTCTTTCGTCGTTCTTTGTGAAAGCAACAACTGAAGGAGTAGTTCTGTTTCCCTCCGCATTCTCCAGAACTTTGGCCTGTTTGCCTTCCATGACTGCAACACACGAGTTGGTCGTACCCAGATCGATACCAACAACATTGCCTTGGACCTTTCCGCTGGATAATCGCGTACTTTGGTACAACCCTCCGTTCAATTTCAAGGATGAATAAAACTACACAAAGAATACTTCAAATCATTTCAAAGAATACTAATATAAACTAACCAATACGAGAAGCATTTGCATACCTGAGCGCTCGAGGATCGCCTCAAAAGCTGTGTCATTACCATTTTGAGCACTGAAAACTTCAAAAAGAAGAATTAATTTTCTGTACAACCAAAATACTGGGATAATCAGGTGAAAAGTACCATTGTAACAGAGGCTACAGTCAGGAGTCCCGTCATCGTATTTAGCCTAATTGTTGTGATAAACTTATTAAATAGATTTGTTATGTTTGACGTTTGTGGAGCGCCCTCTGAGGAATTTTAGAGGCAGGTCTGTCAAGTGGCTTTCTGTGGGGAAGAGGGAGCTCGGGTGAGATTGTTCCTTGTTTTTGATTTTGTAGTTTGATTTCAAAAATTAAATCAATTTAATTGTCTTCTATTTTTTTATTTGCTGATTTATAAGATTCCCACTAACCACTTATCATGGGTTAGTTCAGTCCCCTTAAGTCCAGTAAAAATCCTTTCCTTTACCTTTACGCTGCGTCAAGATGAGGAAAAACAACAAAGAGTGTACAAACAACTATATGCATCGTCAGGATTTTTACAGTAGTACTACTTTGAACCGTTTGACAGTAGTACTATTTTGAACTAAATCGTCGAAACCAAATTGAAAGTGAAAAATTAGGAGAGGGGTAGACAGGCATAATCAAATAAATTAAAAAAGCAGGTATTCAGACAGACAGCATTTAAATATAGTATAGATAGATAGATAGATAGTTAGATAGATAGATAGATAGATAGATAGATAGATAGATATAGACAGATAACGCCAGAAAAGAGCTTCACTTAGCTTAATAGAGTTTTACATTTGAAAAAAAAAATCAGATATCCGTTCATTTTCGATCATGAATCAAGAAAGCGTCATTTTCATCACTTTGTCGATGAAGCTCCACTACAGTTCACAACAATTTTATAACTACATCAGGCGTTAAATCCGAAGTAGAGAAATTGCAAGCGAAACCACACAATTTCCAATGTAAAACCAAGTTTCAATTATGATCAGAATAGATATAATTTATAAAACAATGAAATTCAGATATCCGTTCTTTTTCAATCATTGATCATGCATTTAGTAGTAGTAGTAGTAGTAGTAGTAGTGTAGGCTTTAGGATTTCTCCATGGGTTTTGAACCCTCGTTTATAAGTTCATAATTTTTCCCGGTGGGTTGCAGTTTCCACACCAGCAAAGAATTCTCCACATACACAAGTTGTTTTCTGCAAAATTTCTGTTGAAGAATTTCCAAAACGTGTTTGTTATAGATATTTTCAGGCTGTCATAATCTTGATTTTCGAAGTCCACAATTTGGCTAAAGTAGTTGTATAGCGTAATAGAACGTATATAATAATTTTCATTTGACTTTTTCAGTCTTGTTGCATGAACAGCAATCTCACCACGTGTTGCTTGTCTCGTTCGTGATTCGTTTTTATGAATAATTGTATTCAAATCAATGTCATGTTTATTTTTTAGTAGTGAAACTAAGTACAATATGTCGTGTAATTCAAAGTACATTGAGAGTGGAAGGAGCTTTAAAAATTTCAGTCTTTCAGTATAACTCATTTTGAAGTTATTTGTAATCCAAGATGTCGCTCGTTTTTGTACTCTTTCTAGTTGTCTTAATTCTGCTTTGTTCGGATACCATGTTTGCGATGCATAGCTTATGATTGGTACGATGTATCCGCAGTATAAGTTTAATTTTGACTTTAAAGATGTTTTTTTCGAGATATTTCGTTTGATTTTGTAAAAAGCTCCCATTGCTTTTGATATGCGATTTTCAGCATTTACTGACCACGAAAGGTTGTGACACATTAAAATACCTAAGTCTTTTTGGGTCTTTGCGGTATCAACATTTGTATTAAATAGTGTAACTTCCATTTTCCCTTTGAGGTTTAACAAATTACATTTATCTTCATTCAGCGGCATTTTATTTTCTTTGCACCATTTTTCAACATTTGCCGTGTCTTTTTGCAGATGAATTTCTTCAGTAGACAAGATCTTCATATCGTCACAATAGCCAAAACAATCTGAATTCTCAATGCATTTGGGAAAGTCGTTAATGAATATGATAAAAAGTAGAGGGCCAAGAATTGAGCCCTGTGGTACACCGCTAGTTACTTCTTTCAGAGTTGATGAACTTTTATTGATTTTCACAAACTGCATTCTATCTGTTAGATAGTCTTGTATTATGTCTTGTATTTGAATGCTTAGACCTATGTTCCGTAGTTTGGCGACTAGGATACTATGAGGAACTTTATCAAAGGCTTTAGAAAAATCTAGATAAAGGACTGAGAGTGTTTGAACATTTTTGTCATCGTAGAGTTCATATACTTTGCTCAAAAATTGTACCATTTGTAGTACTGCTGACCTTTTTTGCCGGAAGCCGTATTGTGCGTTTTCCAGGAAAGGTTGAACTTTGGGGTATATATTATCAAAGATAATTTTTTCGAAGACCTTCGAGGCGGAGCATAAGAGGCTAATTGGGCGGTAGCACTCGACTGACGCCTTGTTCTTTTCTTTAAAAATTGGGGCCACTTGACTTGTTTTCCAGTAGGTCGGGAAGAGCCGCTTGTTAATGAATGTGCGGAAGAGAAGATAGAGCGATTTTGACAGAGTTTCAGAAAGATTTTTTAGGATTATATTACCTATACCATCAAAACCTGACGCTTTATTTGTTAAAAGATTTTTGAGAATGTATTGGATTTTGGTTTCTTCAATGTGTATTTGTGTACAGATTTCTTCTGTAGGAGAACAGTTTGTATTTCGTGCGAGAGGGTTAGGAATTGATTCCTTTTGATATACACTGATGAAAAATTCGTTAAAAAATGTAGCTTTTTGGGTGTCATCTCTTGTGGATTTTTCCTTGTAGAACATTTTTTGGGGATATTTCCTGGAACTACTTATTTTGTTCAAGTATTTTTGCAGGTCACTGAATCGTCTACTGCTTGTTACTGTTTCTTCGTAAATTGCTTGATCTGCAGTCAATGCTATTTGAAGATTTTTTTCCAGTTTTTTGTGTTTTAGGATAATGCTTAAATTAGGTTTGTTTTGCCGATCGATACGCCGTTTTAAGGTTTGTACTCTTTTTAGCATGTGAGACGTACTTGGCTTCACCCATGGGGGGAGAGTTGATCTGTGTGATGTAACCTTGGGTACATTGTTCTTTATTTTGTCCCATAACCATGCATACCACTGACGAAGGAGCTCATTTACATTACTGTAACAATACGGTATGAAAGGTTTGTCTTTTATTTCTTGATTTATTATCTTCCAATCGGCTCTGTTAAACGCCAGACTTTCATCTTTGTTTATTTCTTTGATACTGGCTTCCATGTTAATTGTTGCAGAGTAAGCATAATGATCTGAGCAAGAAACTTTGTCGATGCTGTATGCGTTTGTTGCTGAATGGTCCGTGTGCCAGTTGAGTATTACTCCAGGGTTGTTTGTTAATAAAACATCAAGCTGCTTTTTTTTGGAGTCGAATAATTGTTCATAGTCAAGTTCAATGAGCTTTTTTAACACTGCATTTTCATATTTGTCCTTTGAGTGCATCATTTTCCAATGAGTGTATTCAAAATTTATATCTCCCGTAATCGACACTGCGTTACAGTTGTATTGTATTTGTAATTTTGTTAGGTTTTCGAACAAACTGATGAAGTTTTGTTGTTTCCATTGGTATTTACTGTTTTTCGGGGGATTATAAACACAGCAGAGTATTTGATGATGCCCAGTTTCACCTGTTAGTTTGGCCACTATGCATTCTTCATTTTCTATTTGAGCATCAATTTCTTCGTAATGCACATTTTCTTTTATCGCCATGAGTACGCCTCCGTGATTGGTTTTTAAAGTGGAGTTTTTTCTATCTTTGCGAATTATATTAAAACCAGCCAAATGCAGAGCTTTATCTGGTATTTCCTTTACCAGCCATGTCTCTGTGAGACATAGTATATCGTAGTCTGTTTGTAAAATGGCATTTGAAAGAGCTATTCTTCTGTTGATGTCTAAAATACTTCTGACATTTAGGCATAACATTTTTAAATACTTGGCAGTAGGTAGTCAATTGCTTTCTTCGACTTTTTTCCAATTTCCACTTTCTTCGTCATATTGGTAAAGGACAAGGTCCCTTAGCCTTAGGTTTTTAGCTGATACTCCAGTTTCTATCATTGTTCGTCTTTTCATAAGAAGTTTGTTCTCAATCAGAAATTCACTTGGGCTGAGCTCTTTTGACACAAAGACAGTTTTGTCGTAGTTTTTCAATTTTGCCAAGGACATTAGTATCAGTCGTTTTTGCCATTCATTTGAAACATTTACAACTATTGTGCGTGGCCTTTTTCCTTCTTCGTATTTTCCTAAACGTTTTAAATCTGTGATTTTTGCTTCAACTGTTAAGAACGCAAACAGTTTGTTCACCTCTTCCAAGTCGTGTTCGTGTCTATCTCTTGAACTTTTTGAGCCCAGTTCAAGCAGTCCTCTTATCCGGATTCCGTTATAGCTTGATTCTGGTTTGTTTAAGGCAGGTTGCTTTGGCTCATTTCTGTTTTGTGGTTTTTTGCTTGTTTCATCTATCTTTTGCTTAAGTGAATCTATCTCTTGTTTAAAAGTAGAGAATTGTTCGGCGATTTCATTTAGTTTTGTTTCAGCAATGGATGGACGGGTTTGCATCAAATCGTTGATCATCGACTCTTTCCTATTGTTTCCAACACAACAGTTACAGAGCAGGAGGACGTTCTGGCTGATCTCCGAAATTCCAAGGATGGCAGTTTCAGATATTCCAGTGCATGTTTTTGTCATGTGCATAACATCGCCACAGGCAATGCAATTAAAGATTTGACTTTTGTTTGTGATCGGCTTTTTGCATGTTTTACAAGATTTCTCAGATGCTTGCGAGACGCTAGCATTTCTGCGTCTTTCTTCTGAGCCCATATTGCTCAAAAAAATCTTCTCAGAACTGACACTCCAAGGTATAAAACCTCAGGAGAAAACCAGACTAGAGAAGACTTATTGAGTTTTTTTGATTCCCTTGGACTGATACTCCAAGGTATAAAAACCTCAGGAGAGAATAGTCTCAAGAAAATCAGACTCACCAGAACTA